ACAAAATATTTACACACTTTACAAACTTAGTTATTTCAAATGATCCAACTGTGTTAATACATCAATTTAAAATTACATCGGAGTCTCGTTTAGACGGCATGGAAATCTACTTATAATATTCCTTTATATTTTAACATTTTTAGTAGACGATCATTTGACAATACCTACACAATCTATTCAAAAAACATAGACGACGCTTGGTGTTTACTTACATATATAATTGCTTCTATATTAGTAAGAGATATTTGGAATTAGCAAACGTATTTTTAATTTTTTAGACCAGACAGATTTCGCTGTGGGATTTTTCCCGACATAAAATATTACATTTTTAATAATTTATTCCAGATACTTAGGATGAATTAATTCATTTTTAAATTGAGTTCATTCAATGCATTGGATTGTAATTTTAATTTATGAAGAACTCTATATACGATGTATGTAAAATAAAATAAATGTTTTATGTTTAATGGACATATTTTTTGTTGTTGCTCTAGAGGCACACATTATTGCAATAAGATTCTCTGAAATATTATTATGTGAAGCAAACATTAGGTTTGTTCCAACAGAAAGTTCAGATTGGGATTCAAAACACTTATAGTTCTAGAATCGACTCCACTAGTTTTGAATCGGTTAATAGTTTTGTTTCTTTATTCTACCTCATAAAATCACAAATTAAAAACTGCTAAAAAACATTGGACATTTTATTGTGTTCCTAATAACTAGAAAATGTTTTAAAAAATGTATTGAGACACTACCATATCTAGGAAATTTTTAATTATTTCAACAATATCGTGTTCAAGAATTCTCTATCATTGGGCTTGAAAACATAGCCAATTCAGAAAAATATTTTATTGCCAAGTAGGCAATCCAATCACGTGGCGAACGTTTGGCAAAAACAGTTTCCCTTAATAGTATAAATAGTGTATTATTTTTTTGAGACTTTAGAATGAATTAATCTTTATTAAAAATACATTAATATTTACTGTATGATTTACAATAACAGTCAAATACTAATGAAAAGGTCAGGTTAACAAACTTTGTTGTTTTTGCCAAGGATCGGCCATTTTTGTCTATTCTGACAGAACGTTGGATTGCCTAATTAATAACAAAATAAAGTGAGGTTAAATATCGCGTTAAACTGATTCAGAGGCATTCCAATAACCTGCCAAACAATCGTGCCGTAGGGCAGGGCTAGTATATCTAAGGGGTTGCGAATAGTCTTCCATCTTGGACGCTATTTTTATTCGAATAGTCGTTCGACGTAAAATAACCAGTTCTTTTAGTATAAAATATTCATGATTTTACGTGTTGTAGATAGAATACATCGAATGTCGCTACCCCTTAGATATACCAACTCTTCCCTTCGCCAACCATTTTGTTTGGAATGCCTAAATGGACAGTCCATCGACCTGTCAAACGAGAGCTACCATAGGACAGGGTTGGTATATCTAAGGGGGTTGCGACATAGCCTTCCATTTTAGACGCTATTTTTATTCGAAATAGACACCAAGAGGAAAAATGTATAAGCGGTTTAAAAAAAAATACATTTTCATGGTGATTACTATTTCCCCCTAGCCTCAATGACACCTTCATCAATTTACTGAGTCTATGTCTCAACCCCCTTAGGCAGCCTAATTAAAAACTCTAGAACTATAAAAATGATTCGTAATCAGTTCAGAACACAATTCCAGTTCTGAATTTTTCAATCGACTTGTTGAAACGGTAAAATAGCTTTGCGCAAAGTTCTGAATGGTTCTGAACTTTTGTTGGAACAAACCAAATATTTTCACAGGTTAACAGAAACAAAATTCAACTTCCATAAGCTTATTTCTAAATCCATAGATAATATTCCTAGTAAGATTTTTTTGTAAGCCTGTTTAAGAACACAAGACTTGCTCATAAAATCCAAAATTACACATTTAAATCAAAAATCACACGACACGTTAATATCTAATGTAAATTTTTTTATTTGAATATCGATATATCTACAACATAACTTGATATGTTTAACATTAATATCGATATCCATTTTTTCTTTATCTGAATATCCTGACTGGTTAAAGGCATAAAATCTTAAAATTATGAAATCATAATATATACAATGTCCCAGTTTAACATAGGTTGATCCTTTACATATGTACAAACATATTAAAAACAACTCTTCATGGTCCACGGAAGTGTACTACATACATTTTTAAAGAAACTATGTGCAAACGAGTCACCGATAAAAAGGAAAACTATAGGAAAGTGTTCCACAAGGAAAACAGGAACAAACTACTATCGAAATAATAATTAGGAAATTATATAACATTAGTATAACCAAAATATTATTTATAATGTTCTTTGTCGTGTCGAAAAGAATTTTAACTTTAAATAGGTAGGTATGCCACAACGAAGTATTGCAGGTAATATTAACTAATAGGCTTTTTGAAAAAAAAATAAGCACAAGTATGTTTAACCTTCCTAGAACTCTAAATGTACATGAACTAACTGTAACTCAACAAATTAAAATTTTAAAATATAAATTATGTCTTTTCTAAAAGAACTGAAATGTTATTATTTATTCAATAGTCAAAAATCAGGCAAAATATTGCAGGTAATATGAATTTTGGCATATTTGGGATATTTTTTAGGCAATAAAAGTAAGTAGAGATTTGATGAAATGCATCCTTTCAGATTTGACGCCCTTAGATTGTTTCTTGCGATTAAAAAAAGGAATCTACAAACCAAACTCTACAAGAATTGATGGCAATGAGTTGTTAAGCGAAAAAGAGTTTTAAAAAATACATATTGGGTAAATGTAGTTATCTCCTAGATCATCTTTCGTGCAATAAGTGAAGTGTTGCCAGATACGAAGGGATAAGCAAAATAAAATGGTGCATAGTATTACGTTGAGCCATTATTTTAATAACCTTTTTAGTAGTTTGTTCCCGAAAACCAATATAACACGGTGAATTAAATTGTATGTAAAAATATAGACACAATGAAATTACTATTAGTGGATTTTATGTGTTGCACTAGGTGTAAGTATTCTGCACTAATCGCATTTGATTTGTTCAAATATTTGACAATAGCACACGTGTAGCATATACTTCTGACAAGTATGACAGTTCGAATACAGTGTCGAGTGTGACACTAGTGCAACAAATAAAATCCACTATATGTTAATGAAAATATACTTCAAATGAATGTACATTTACCGATTTTATTTATTGAAAAACTTATTTTTTAATAACACAATTATTAGAACATTTGTAAATAATCACCGATACCATTCTCGAAATATATTTTCATTGTCTTCTCTTATTAATCACCATATTTAAAAACATTCAAAAGTTGTTAATGTTATACTTTCTTTAGCATTCAAACCATACCTATAAACTGGATGAATTTAAAAAAATATAATTATATATATTTTTTTTACTTTTTTGAAACACCAAAGAAAATATTTGTTTGATCTATCTCTCCACATTGCTCTAAGAAATTAAGGCACCAAAGTATCAATTTCGAATATTCTTCTTCTTAATAAATTGAACAAAGGGCATCCCAAGGTAGACCGTCAGATAGTGACAGTTTTAGGCGCCCCATTTTCACATACAAGTCTGCGAAGAGTACATCGATTTGGAGTAGAATGAAAGAAAATTTACGAGTGGCTCCTGCGGATAACATGGAAAATTTGATTTTCCTTAACATAAATTAAAGGTATTTGTAGCCTAAATTTTCACGCAAGCCGTGTTCACTAAATGATTAATTAATCGAACCAGGCTTCTGAAAACCAAAAGCTTAAGGGTTGGTTTAGACGTTTTTGACATTTTCAACAATTTCTGTAGGTTCTTAAATAATTATTTGTTTATTTTTCTTTTTGTCGCAGAATTATTTCGAGGTAATAAACTTTGTTTACAACGAAAATGTCATTCTGTGGAAGTGGCTAAAATACCAACCCAAAACATTTAAATTTCACAGCCAACACCAATTATGATTACTTTTTCATTCGTTTCTTATTGATGAGTTAATTTCTTAGAGAAAAGTGTATTTAAAAATGGTCTTTTTAGAGTATATTCTGTATTTAAATGCACACAAGTATCGACTAAAACAAAAATGGCATAATAGGGTGGGTACGTTTATTTTACACAAATTATGGGCAATACAATATTTCGGATACATGATTTTGAGATAATGTCTTCACCAGATTTTGCATGCATCAAAAAGTGCCCATTTTTGTGAACATACGAAATTCGATAAGAAGTATTCTGAACATACAAAAAGTATGCTCAACATAAATATTGTTAAAATTATAAAGGATGTATGAAAATAAATATTCTTTCATTATCACAGGACATAGCTACATAATGTGTTGTAGAGAAAACGTTTATTCGATTTGGGCGAAGGCTAATTTTTTTTAATTATTATCTTGTCTTCACATATTTAGAATATTTATATCTTGTTATCCAATCGTTTGGATTTGATTCCTCGTAATGGCATTACATTTTCTTTAAATTGTGGCAATGTTCATGAGAAGAAATCTTGTGAATGAAGTTATATAAGTAGTATCAAACTTTTCCGACTTCAGATTTTTTTATAAATTCAAGTTGATGTAAAGATGCGATCTTCCCACTTCCAAGAAATTATTCATATACGGATTGGATATAATTTCTTGTCTATTATTTGTAAAAATGTAAACTGTTAAATTGTGTACTGTGTTGTACATAGGGTTGTGGATTTGACCAGTTAATTGACTAAAATAAATGAAATAATATAATAAAATAAACAAAATATCAATATTTTTCTGCATCATCAAGAATGGCTAGTGTAAAAGTGCGCTGGCATGAAGCGAGTGCGATTTATGAACTGCTGCGTGCAGAGCGACACTAAGTTGATATTTAATTGGTGCGAGAGCAATTTAAACGCAGAATGATGATGCACCACCGAATGTCCAATCCGAAAATGCTATAATATTGATCTGTACAACTCAAATAAAATATTTTTGATTATTTTACAACCCCAACATTAATAATACATTAAAATTATTTATGAAGACTGATATTTGATTCTTTTCATGGACACTGCCACAATTTTTACGATGTGCTCTTAACTACATTACTATGATGTACATAAATAATCGTGTTTGTAATGTTCAATTCACTCAAAATTGCCTCACTTAGATCCATCATTGCTTTAGAATTTCTTCGTTTTCAAAAAATGAAATTAGTAATTATATCACAGCGTTTACTTAGAATATTTCAATAAAAATACTTATATGATTATTTAAATAAGTAAAATGTTCAACTAAACTACATATAATTCTTATTTTTAATAGAAAATACTAAATAAATATGTAAATGTAAAAATGTAATTGTTAATAATCCCCAAAAAAAAACCTCGTTCCGATTGACATGAGTTCTGAGCTTTAAACAAACAACTATAGGGTAATAATTCAGGTTTCTAAATGGATATTGCATAGACACATGGCGGTAGGACCTATTGATTTCAGTAAAACCACGCTCAATGTTTATATAATAAAGCTGATCGGGCAACCCGAGAATACGATCCCCGAATAAAATGTATTAAACGGAAAATCAGCGTCAGATTTATGACGAACTTGTGTAGTTCATGTCATCGAATTTTATTGTAAGATGTTTATCAGGATTGAACAAAAAAATACATAAATATGTCCTTGCGCAGGCGAGTTCCTATTCACCTGATCTCGCACAGCGAGACTATTTTTTTATTTCCCCAAATGAAAACGAAATAAAAAACAACAGAAGGTTTATAAAACGCATATGAATAGGTGAATCGCATAAAGTGCAAAGTACTTTGAAGATGACTGCTTTCGACATCTTGTAGTCTATTGAAATGCACCTTTTTTGTGACTGTAGCTTTTTGCTATAAGGTTCGGACGAGGTTTTTTTTTCTAATAAATATCTTAATAAAAAAAAAATAATTCAATGCACAGTTGCTTTTCAATTATTGTTAATTCACAAATTTAAAATGAAACGGTGATTCTTTAGCAAATAATTCGGTTTTTGATTACAAAGTGAAATATACTTTTTAAATGGCACTCTTGAAGCTTTTGTATTTTTTTAGCTCCGTATATACAACACTGGGTCTTGTGATACATGCAATCTCTTTATTAATGCTTTCAAAAAAATTCTGTCCGCAATTTTTTATATATAAAAAATAAAAACTAACAAATTTAATAATATGTCTGGAAATAAAATATAAAGAAAACTAAAACTAATGTTCAAAATGGCGCCTTTTACCATAATTAAAAAAATGGTTAAAAAAAACAGTGTGGACAGGATTTTTTTGAAAATTCAGTGTTAAAGGAGACTGAAGTAAGGAAGTGTACATCAGAGCGTTAATGAACCCTGGGACAGATTGACCAACAAAATAAACTATGAAAAGGCAAAACAATCAAGATTATATAAATAACTTTTTAAGCACATCACATTTAAATTTGAATCGTTAATGTCACCTACACATAGGGAAGTCGTATTGAGCGAGATGGTAAATTTTGATGATAGCCTGCGTTATAACTCCATATCTTCAGCTTCATTTTCAGAAAAGTCTGACATACTAGATTCGCTATCCGAGCTGACGTTTTCTTGACCCCGAAGTGCCTCTTCTGTCGCGTACTTTCTCACATATTCTAAAAATTGTGCAATCTTTTATATATATATTTATGCACACATTTTTTTTTGTCATCGGCTTTAACTACTCTGGTTATTTCGCCTAGTATTCTGTGTAGGCTTTGTTACTGTTTCCCAGCGCCACTTTAGGAACAGAACTGTTCATTAGAACCCAACAGTGAATGGTCAAATGGAGAATCCTACCAAGGCATCAGAATTAATTTTAAATAATTAAATTAAATGAAAAAATCCCTGCCAACGGTGGCAGGCAGACTCTACCACTGAGCCACCCACCCTCGAACATACACATTTACACTTAAAATCATTATAGATAAGAACTAAAGATGACTTAATGCCAAAAGAGCTTAGCATTTTTTAAATAAAATAATTTTTGAATGAAATACAAGTTTTCTTTGCTGATAGAAGTTATTAGATATTTACGATATAAGTGCGGTATGCATATGCATGTGAAAATTGCACATAAGTATATTAATAATGTGTTACCGGCACGAATATTGTACAATATTTTATCTACAACTGTCATGTAACAACAACTCCGAAAATTCGAAATTATATTGAATAAAATTATGTCGGCATATCGTTAAAATTGACTATTTGCGAATACAAGTAACCTGTCAGTATTTTGTAACCATAGTAACGGAATTAATAATCAACTTCTGTCAAAGTGGCGTTTAAAATCGTAAAAATTCTGACTTTATGTCGCTCAAATAACCATTAAAAGTACATATATTATCAATTATGTCTTCAAGTGAAGATGATCTTCCACAAGATAATGAAAATGCAGCAACCGGCGTAATAGAAAATTTAGTACCACAGAAATCACGTGAGAGATATCATTTAACTTATGACAAATGGTGTAAAGCATTACTGGTATATTTCAACGAATTGGTGTTACTACTCGATGTTGAGGACAGAATTGCTTATTAAACAAAATATCGATATCAAAAAACATATCAATTTGATAGCATTGTTGAAACGAAAATCAGAAGGGTACAAACCTAAGAAATCTAAGGTATTTTCGAAAGAAGAAATAACTAAATTTATTGTAAATGCAGGAGATGAGAAATTTTTATGCATGAAGGTAATATATAATAGATATTCATATAAATGTAAATAAATATTAATGTAATACATATTTTAAGGTTGTGCTAATTATTGGTTTGGCTGGTGCATGTCAGAGAGAAGAGTTGACAAATTTATTGATAGAAAATGTAAAATATCAAGGAATGTGCTATCAAATTGTCATTCCAAATACCAAAACAAAAATATCGCGAGAATTTTTTGTTACATCTGGGAACATTGATAGTATTAATTTAGTTACAATTGTTAGAAAATACTCTACATTAAGATCTAAAAGTTGTGGCCATCAACGATTTTTTGTTGGATACAGAGCAGGAAAATGTACAACACAACCTATTGGAATAAATACTATTGGTAGTGTTCCAAGATTAATTGCCGAATTTCTTGAACTGCTCAATCCAAAGCAGTATACAGGGCATTGTTTACGGCGTTCTTCAACTTCAATTTTAGCCGACTCTGGTGCAGATCTTCTAAATATTAAAAGACATAGCAGCTGGAAGTCTAATTCTGTCGCTGAAGGATATATCGAGACTTCGGCAGAAAATAAGAAAAAAAACAGCTATGAAAATCTTAGGAGAAAACCAAGAAAATATACCATCGACTTCAAAACATATGGAAACTAATATTTGCAATTATCGGGCATCGGGCATGTCTGTATCTGGCATGAATTTGTATGATTGCAAGGATTGTATTATAAATATCTATAACAAATAATTTTTTTATATTGAGTTCATTATTAATGTTATATTTGTTCTGTTTTGTTAAATAAATGATTAATTTTGATTAACAATTACTTCCGCATCATTACCGCACTAGTGCGGTAATATACGTCATTACAAAATTTAAATAAGTGTCAAATCAGTGTCATTACATGACAGTTGTAGATAAAAGTTGTTAAAGTATCAGTAAATATTTGTTATGTACATGAAACATATTTAAAATTACAATAAAAATTGTATTGTTAACAAAACTCAAATTTTTGTTTCAAAATTGTAGTTTTTAAATTAACTACATATTATGATAATCTTAGAATACCAAATTATTACATTTTTGTCTAACATAATTTTGAAATTAAAATTTGTTATGCATGAAACAAATATAAGAAAAACTGTAAGAATTCATGAGTTTCACGTTTCAAATTTATTATGCTATTAAAGATTACCTACATTTTTCTAAATGCGTTTATGGATTAAATGTAATTTAAGTTGATGTAACATAAAATAAATACTCTAAAATGTATTACAAAAAGGGCCCTGGTATTCCGGTTTTCCTTTTTTTTATTAATACATTTAAAACAAATGAGAATGAACACTACAAATTCCAGATTAGCAAAAACTATGAATAATTGTTTACCTGATACTTTTCTTTTGTATTCTTCAGGTTTATGTAAATACATAGCAGCCGCATCTCCATTGAGAGGGTCGATGGGGTTGGGGTAGGTTAATAATTGTGGAAGAAACGATTCAAATATATTTGATAAATCTGCAAAAAAAGAATAAATATTAAGAAAATTAAAATAAGCCTTCAAAACTGCCGGTTACTGTTTAAGAAACCAGTAGCACAGTCCCCCTGGAATAAATTTATTTAACTCTCTAAATGTACTTGAATTTTTTACATTTATAAGTAATATAGTTCTAATATGCCTAGACAGTTCTGCCCGTATGCATGTCAGAACTGAGGCTTCCCTAACTGCATAGCATGTACCCTTAAATAAATAATATTGACGAGAAAGTATAATTATTAACAAAACAGATTATTGAATTTTTTATGCTAATTATTAATACTAAAATAATTACTAACAAGTAAAAATAGATAAGAAAAAAAAGATTTACCTGCCATAAGGGAAAGTATCAGGGGATTTCATTATGAACGGTATCGATATAATTTTCTTTATCCAAAGTTTAATAATAATAAAAAAAGTGTTATTGCTTGTCACTGTTTTGTCCCTGTGAAATAAATAAAACCATATTTTTTGCATTGTATATTAAGTATGGAGATTTCGAATGAGATTTTAAATAATAAAATAATGACAAGTTGAATTTTATAGTCAAAAAGAATGAATGGAAATTCCCTGTGGGCAAAATATTCTATCAAAGACAATTAGTCCAAGCGGTGGGTAAAGAATAAGGGCATCTATTCGCAAAAGGTCGGAAAGAAATGAAATTTGGTTGGATGGTAGACATGGATCCCATGATACTACATCTAAATTTGCGACCTCGGGGGGTTGCCGCTCGAGGGATGAAAACTCTGCGTCGCGACGCTTTTCGGGAAATAGCGCCGTTGTGGTAAGTGCTATCGAAAAAAAGTTCAAATGAAATATGTACAGAACAAAAATCGTGCACAATTTTGACTTCTACATTTTTTGGTCTGCGACCAATAGTTTCCGCTCTACGACGCTCCAAAGTAGGGGGTTGATTTGCAATGTACAACAAAATGAGAATTTCAGCGCGGATTAAGACGAAGATCGCTATGAAACAATTATGTAATATTTTTTTTTTTCTATAAGACTAATCATTTCTGAGTCTGCAGATGCCTTATTTGATGCATTTGGTCGTATATGTATAATAAATGGTATGCTGTTTTGAAGCGCGCCCCTACATACTCCGATATAAAGATTTTGTAAATATCAGAATCTACAGTCTATATTTCCTTAATATTGTTGACCTAGGCGCCAAATTTATTACTTTTGTGCATTAGTTGTCATGAATGGTATAGCATACGTGCCCTTTGTTCGGCCTCAACTTAATATTTATTATTATTTACGAGTATTTAATATATTAATTCTTTTCCGTGCTACATAGTAAATTTTGGATAAAATTTGCAATTTGCAAAATAAAAAGCGGTACCCGCCTCTTGTAGCCGTTCGATGTTGACAAAATTGCAAATTTTATTCAAACTTTTATTATGTAGCAATGAAAAGATTTTTTTCCTGAACCGCATATTACTACTATTTATTATTTTTATATGTACACAGAGCATACGTCTAAACATAAATCGAACATTGGCTAGGGACAGGCAGGTAGAGGACGGAGATACACAAAAACGGTCATCATTCATTTGTGTGCTTATTGTCAAGTACAGAGCTGGCGGGGAGTTCAGAAACCTCCAGAAGATCATGGATGGCGAAAAACAACCAAAGGACTGGACGCAGTACGGATGACAGCGGAACCAGCTTCAGATATTTTACGTAAGAGCATCTCGTGCAAATGCAAGAAATGTTGTGGATCTGCTTGTGGTTGCCGTAACATATGATTGAAATGTTCGATTCTGTGTTTACACTGTACTGGGATGTCCTGAGCACTTACCACAACGGCGCTATTTCCCGAAAAGCGTCGCAACGCAGAGTTTTCATCCCTCCACCCCTCGATCGGCAACCCCACGAGGTCGCAAACTTAGGTGTAATATCAGGGGACCCATGTCTACTATCCCACCATATATCATCTTTTCGACCTTTTGCGAATAGAAACCATCCACCGTTTCGACTAAATGTTACTTTTTAAAGAAAATGTGAACATCGGTAAATTCCCGAAAATTATAGCATTTTTGAAAAATGTAACGCTGGGCATTAACCAACACAATGTAAAAGGTACTGTCAAGAAAATAAGTTCATTTATTTACCAATGAAGCACAAGATGAATCATTGCTATGATTAGGATTGCTGGGGGATGACGGCGTGAAAACATGTATTATATGACTCTTAATAATGTCCAAGATATATAAACACAGTCATCACGATTCCGCAAACTAAAATTAACGTAAAACGTGTTTTTACTGGTATAAAATTAACTTTGTCGAAATATACCAAAAATATCTTCCTATGCGACCTAAAAATTTTGAAGAATTATTTATTTGTTGTAGGTACTGTGCAATAAAGGGATTACACACATTTCCCTAAATAGGGCTCTGGTGGCCACAACATTGTGGACTGTATAATATAGTTCAAGAGTTACCTGTATGCTGGTTCCAATAATTATCATTCCAGTTGCCTTGATTTACTGAAGGGTAGAACTACTATAGCTGCTTGTTTGAACTGGAGATTTTTAACAACTCAATATCACAATCACATATCTTAACTAGAATAACTTTCACTACCCTTGTTTCTCAATTTTTCCAGGAACTATTCACTCATAAGTAACTTAAAGAAAAAGCAGGCAAGCGTGATATGCGCTAGGGCGTGGCACAACTGCCTTTATATTACATTTCTGGTGTTTGTATTTGCATGTCAGCGATGGCGGGACTGGTACGATACGAGTAAAGTGAGAAATGCATTCTGTCTGCAACGAAGGGACAGACAGAAAGAACTAGTTTATTTGTGTAAAAAGGACTGAAGCTTCTGGCTTGGCGCCATTTGTCTATCTAACGTGGGATAAGGTTACTTCATAATGTCAACTGCATGACTGCATTTAAATTTAAACCTTTTGTAGCTTATGAATGTGAGAGAGATGGATATATAACAATTTATTATTCTAGGAACTTCTACATTAATTTAAAGCAGGGTTTGCCTGATGTATCAGTGAAATATGTTGAATGTATTTCCAACAAAAATAGCTCTGAAGCTTGAATCTCCGTCAAATTATATAGGTCACTATTTTAGAAGGACGTCGATGACTCTTCTTGAAAATACAAGTGTAGATTCATCCGTATTAAAGCGGCGTGGTTACTGGAAAAGTTTTATAGTAACTGAAAAATATGTTGAAGATGCTATTGAAGATAAAACGAAAATTGCTCGAGTGATACAAGTATTGTAACAAATCAAGAACACAGAAATCATTTCTGATAGGGGATGTCCTCTACACATCAGGAATTAATATTATTAATAACTCGAATTTTACCATATCGGTAACTTTTAGCTGATAATTGAATTTTGCAAATAAATACGTGTAAATATTTTGTTATTGGACATATATAAAATGTTGGGTTTAAGTATTTAGTGTAAATTAAGTAATCTGTATATTGGTTTTAAATATAATAATAAAAATTTAGTAAACAGAAAAGCCACATTTTTTGTTGTCTACCTTTCTTTTACTGAAGTTGGTAGAAAAAATATATTTTACAATAAAAAAGCGCTACTAGAGGTAGATGATTTTCTCCAAATTAGGCATTCTAAACAAAATGGCTGCCGAAGATAAGGGTTGCGACATAGACCCAGTAGGAACAGTAGTCAGCTTAAATTGGCAGGCTTGGCGACTACTATTTAGAATTAAAATACCATCCAAGATAGAAGGCTATGTCGCAACCCCCTTAGATATATCAGCTCATGCCCTCCAGCATGACAGGTCGTTGGAATGTCTAATAAAACACTTATCGAAGAGAATTTTTGAATTTCTCATTTATTTCTTTGAATTGACAATTGGCATTGTTATAAATTATTTAAATCCCTGTTTTTTTATCAATATGCTAAAAAAAGTGTACCTAGTTTGTACATTTTGTGTAAAATTTAGTGATACCTATCAATAAATATCGCTATTTAGCGTACTTAACTGACTTACTTTAGAAGTGGATGATAAAAAGTTCTTCTGGAAAATTCAAGAGGCTCTTAGAGCTTTCTGTCAAATTTCAGTAACTTCCTAACAAGAAGAAAAATCGAATTATTTATATTATTATGAAATAAACATTTGCTCATAGACGAATTCCATCCCACATATTCACCAATAAGGAGAGAACAAGTTCTGAAAGAATTTGAACACTATTTAAAAGTTGTAAAAAAAAATTTAATGTATCTAATTTAAAATAAACTGATTTATTAATTAATTGCTAATAACTGTATTTAAATATTTTATTTATTAGATTTTTAAGTGAGAAAATGTCAAATAATTGCTCCTTAATAACAATAATATGGGAGTGTTGCTAAGCAACAAGAATAATGGTACCAAATCATGTATTTTTGATTTAACGCTCGAGATCCCTACAGGGTAAGTAGTTTGATAGGTACCCCCCTCTACCTAATAGCGAGTAATGTCTAAGTGTGTTTGGTCACCATTTTATAATATCTGAATTGCTAGTATATAATAAATACAGCAAAAATGTCTTAAATTCCTGTAGTATAAGACTATTTAAGTTTGAAACACTGTTTGACCTAAAAATCATGGAAAATCAAAGAAAAAAGAAAGACCTAGATGGCTATTCGATATTCTTAATGGTAAAAAAACATTGTCCTTCACTTTTGTCCCATATCTTACATATAATTTATAAAAATAAAATGTTGTTCCAATAAAATTCTGTACCTAGTTTTTTTTACTAAAAATTTTTCAGAACAATCCATAACTGTTATTTAAAATTTCAAAAATATTATTCATGATTATAAATAAAATTAGGCAGTTAAGGTAAAACATTCTTGTGGAACAATTACATTTAGTCACATTTACAGTAACTGCAAATTTATAAATGTTAAAATATTTAATGATAGAATTTGATGTCTGGTTAAATTACTTAAAAAGAAATAAGATAACCCCTATTATCAAATTTTATTGACAACAAAAACATTTCCATGTTATAAAAACAGATATTACAAATTAAATTTGAAATAAATATGTTTTTATTCATCATTCATCTACATATTGGAAATCTCCTTTTTACATTACTTATAGAATAGAAAACTCTCTAAATAAGATTTTTTTAATAACAATATTTATTCTCATTTAGAATATTTTAGCTTGTTGCTTTCAAACAAGCAACACTGGTTTCTGTGCAAGCCAAATAGCAATTATAAGTTAACTGTTTAACATCAAACTCCCTCTAAAACATGCAAAGTTCAAATTATGTGGAATAATTCTCTGGATTTATGGAGATAGATCAAGACATTTTCACTTTAAAGAAAAGAAAATGCAACAAACTGCTAACGAATCCCAAATATCTATGTCACAGATGAAGAAAAGGCTGATGCATTAAATGATAACTTCATTAAAGCATATAATGGAACAAAATGCCCATCTTTTGAATGGGACAACTGGAACGATGTAAACTCATGGTGCAAAACAAAGAATAGAATTTGAGGATGAAAAATACTATACAATCAGAAAATTTCACCCCAGGACATGATTTCATCGTAAATTGTGAAGGAACTAGAACATAATATACACATCTATATTTTAAAAATGTTTACTTACAACTCATACTTTCCAGATCAATGGGAAAAAAGCACCATCATAATTATCCCAAAACTAGATATAAATTAGAAAAAAATTGATAATTACAGACTAATCACCCTTCTTCCAATTTTAGGAAATCTATTAGAAAAACTCATTAAAGACAAATTAGCAGCATTAGTAAACGTCTGAATTGTAAAATTTCAATTTGGGTTTAGAGAACAATCTCCACTCTGGTACCAACTACACTGCTGATTTCTAATGTGGAAACAACAAAATTGAACAATAAAAAAATCTGACATTCTCCTGTTGGATATTAAAAAAGGCCCTTTCCAATGTCTGGTGCAAATCTTCACACATACTATACAAATTTTACTGGATGAAGGATCTAGGTTGATAGCTATTTAGTTGTAAAATTTATGACCAATAAAGTGCTTTTTTCTAGTGTGAAATTAAAAAATAAATACAATGATATAGTAATTGTTAGTTAGGGATGTACTTTTTATTTATTTTGCAGTATTAAAAACAGTAAATTATTAAGCTTACACTGAAGTCCTTCACCCCAAAGAATATAAATTCAATTATTTACTGATAATTTAAATAATACAATAAATAAAGTTTTTAATTATGAAAAATGCCTAATTTAAACAATTATTGAAACAAGGTTCAGGTAGGTTAGGTTAATCTGCTTGTATTCAATATAACTTATGAAAACACTCTTATAGGATTCTTTTTGTAAATCGAAATTTGGAGATGTGGTTTATTTGTTTACTTAGGAGGACGCTGTACAAGATTAAAATTACCTGGTATTTTTGTAGAACTTACATTAAGATAACACAGACTGTTTGTTGGAAGAATAGTAAGATAATTAAAGATATGTATCATCTTAGTGTCTGCACATAAACACTTTAACTCACATGTTCATCAGTGTAATCAGTTTATGAATGAAAAATCATTGTCATTTATAAAAACTTAATCATAATAAAATCACTTAACATTTCTAATCTATTTTTTGTGTATCTCTTACTACAGATATTTATTTAATATAATAGTATTAAATAGATAAAGTTACATACCATATAAAGCTGTCCAAGCTTGATTTATAACATCTAGGCACACTGTACCCGATACTTCATCTATGTTTGGGTGATAAACACGATTCATAAAACCAATACTTGGAGATTTGAAGGGGTAATGTTCTGGTAAGTGAACTCTCACTTTCCAAACTCCTCCTTCATAAGGTGCTAAAATAACAAAAATTAAAATATTTCGATTAAAAAATAAATTATCTTCTTACTTCCTCTAGGCCCATAAAATTTGACACAGAATTCATTGAGCCCACCAAGAATGGTTACCTCATGTTTACTCTCAATGCTAAATAATTAGTAATTAAGGAAAATGAACATATTGTTATTGACAATCAGCTGTTTCTACATAGTGTAGTGAACGAAATTATAATTACAACCTCTATTTAAAAACTAAAATAAAACACTAATAAAAACAATATCAAAAAATAAATTTTCCACAATCAGCTGATACAAAGGCAGGATGTTGTTTACAAATATTATTTCGAGAACACAAAGGATACAGTTTAATAACATCAGTGTCCATACGTCTTTTTCCAGCACTTGGAGACGACATTTTTCAGATTGTCATGAAATTCTCACCATGAATTTGATATTCCTAAGAAAAACAACTATATTTAAAGAAGTAATCACCAACTGAATATAATGGCCGTTTCCAAATCGAACAAATATTTCACGAATGAGGAATCTCTTTCGTTACGTTTACCAATAATAGAGCTGTCACTGGTGGTGTCACACATTCGCATTTAGGGACAAGGAATATCTCACTGTTGCCATCTACAAAATTTCTGCGCAAATAAAATTGAAACTAGGTCAAATTATGACAGAAAACTACAGAATTGCCAGCATTTACGTTTTACAGTTTCCTAAGATCGTTAGATAGAAATTAAAATCAAATCTAATCATTTATCGAAATAATAGATTAAAATGAATATACTAGACTTTACTCGCTACTTGAATGCATGAATGGCACAAATGTAGGTAGAGAAGGGACAACGAGAAGGGGTACATCTCGAACGACTTCAATATTGGCAATATGGCAAAAGGCACGGCAAAAGGCAAACTGAAAATGGGAGATTTTTGTTCTGAGGTTCTAATGCGCTTGCGTGATTAACGTCAGTGTCAAGAGCACGTGTCAGGGCCACGTGTCAACAATCTATTCGTTATGTGAATATATCAGATTTTTATTGGCTATTTATTTATACAAAATACAACTCGTATTTCAAATGTTTCTAGGCCAATTTAAAAATTATTTATTATTTTTCTATATAGGTACAGGTATGTACTTATATGTATCTGTGTAGTAGGTATACCTACCTACCTACCTATACCTACATTAGCTCATTAAACCCTAGTTGCGTAGGTCGCTTATCAAATTGATATCAAATAAATAAATAATTGCCTATATGTCTAATTATTCTGTATTTATTTGCTATAGTTCGTTTTTTAATTGTTACTTTACCAACTACGAGTTTTATTTTCAATTAAAACGCTCTTTATGCGTCTTTGTAAAAGTTTAAGAGGTTCGTTTCTACTTTATAGTCATTTAACAAACTTCATTTTTTATTCTATTCTTGTAGGGGAATGAAAACAAAAAGGTCATTTTTAAGTAATAAATAATTTAAATAGTCAACACTTTTTGAAAGATCTTAACAGGTTACGTAGGTATTGCATATGCGCAGTTGGTTGTACAGCTATAGGCTATAGCATAGCTCATCTCATAGCTCAATTCTCAATTTAAAAGGGTTTTATCAATAAATTTGGGTTCGTATGTATGAGAGCAAAATTCGGCACAACTTGACAAAATTTGCAATGTAAAGTATATAAATGTTGGCATTGTTATTTTATATTATTAAAGTTAAATAACAAGTGACTACTTTTTGGTAAGTGTACCTATTTGCAATGTACATAACCTATATTTGTTTTTCTTAAAAAATTTAATTAGCCTGTTTATTCAAATATTAAAATATTATTCCACTGTATTATTTATTATTGTTATAACCTTAGTACTGCCAAGTTTCTATTTTAGTCTTAATATAAACAATACCACCAGCTTACTTTCTGACACATGACAGATGTTATTTTAATTGTAAAATATTTTGTTTTAATTTTATTTTTAGTGTTAGCCCAACACCTACATTACTTTATCGAAGTCTAAACAAGATGCAGAAATTAATGATGGTTCGACTTTGATAAAAATTAAATAATGGAACTTGGAAATTCAAGTATTCTGCATTCGGGGGACATAGTCTCCCTATATGCAGAAGGTAATGTTTGTGGGTTTTTAAGTACCCTAGGGTAAGTACTTTTATTTATTTTAAAACAAAATACCTATAAACTACTTATTTTAGGTTAGTAGATGATAGATGTGTAGTTTGCCCTGAATCTGGTAGTTTAACAAACCCTCCAAAAAAGTTTAGGGACTGCCTCTTTAAAATATGTCCCATGAACAGATATTCGGCCCAAAAACAATTTTGGAAAGCTGCAAAACAAAGTATGAATGCCAATACTGATACTAGTCTACTAAAACGATTACATGTAAGTAATTGGTTCTATAATTACTTATTAGATATCAAGTAACTAAAATTAATAATCTAGAATTAAATACTTTTGGGGTGCTTGGACCCTTACTTTATATAAATGACTTGGGACAAGTTCTTAAAAATATGTAAAATACAACATTTTGCAGATGACAGGTTTATTTTTATGGGGATGATTTTGCTGAAGTTGCTGAGACCCTCAACCATGAATTGGGGTTATTAACATCTAAATTCAAACAAAATAAATTAAAAGTTAATGTGATGAAATCAAAATTTATGTTCATTGGTAACAACTTTCTATACAATAGATTTTTGAGTTTAAATTTAGATATTAAAATAAATAATGAAACAGTAGAAATGGTCCAAGAAATAAAGTATTTAGGAGTTTTAGGTATGTTGGATAGAGAACTAAAATTTAATAAACACATTGAGTATATCTGTAAAAAAGTAGGAAAAAAATAGGATTTTTATGAAGAGGGTCACCATATATATCTATTTAAACTAAATTGATTATATATAATACACTTATTCTACCCCACTTTTACTATTGCTAGTCTTTAATATATACAGGATGTTCCAATTTTGATAGACTACAGGTCCTACAAAACAAAGCAATACGAATGATACTAGGTTGTAACAAATATACCAGTATTCAGTTTATGTTAGATGCCTTAAATTGGCTAAGTGTTGAAAAACTGCTACATGTACAAACAATGGTTTTTATATTTAAAATAATAAACAATTTGTTGCCTGAATATTTTAACTGTCAACTAATTCCAGTCACAGAAATACATCAAAGAAACACAAGAGCAGCAAACTATCAAATTTTATATACAAACAACTAATAAAAGTAGTTCTATGAAAAGCTTATTTCATAAAGATATCGATCAATTCAATCATCTGCCTCAAAATTTTAAAATGTTCAGAATCCTAGTCAATTTAAGAAAGAACTTATTATATATATTAAAAATAATTTATGAATTATATATAGTTGAAAATTGTTCTTTTTCTCTTTTCTTTTCTTTTACTTGTTATACTTTTAACCAGTCTGTTATGTTAAATACCTACATTACTGTTTCTTTTATTCTTTTGTTTTTCTCTTTTTTTTTATTATGTATGAGGGAGACAATTATGTTAAGTTTTATGTTTATTTTGATTTTGAATTAATTATGAAGTAAGTGCATGTTTATATTGAATTGTTGGTTTATTTTGAATTATTATATTATCTTTGATAAATAATGTTACTTATTAATTCAGTGACTTACCTAAACTTTTTAAATTCCTCAATTTACTAATGCTATCACTAACTACACTTAATACCTATTTTTCTAAAACCCTAATATTATCTTTGTTTATAAGGGTATTACATTTTACATTGTATGTAACCCTCTATAGATATAAATGGAATTAAAATAATTTTTTTTAAGTTCATGCAAAAAACAAAACTTTATTGAACTATATTTAGTGAAAAAACTAGTTCTTTATTGCACTAGTGCAATAAAAATTTTATTGCACTCATCTGTCATTTTACTACAGCGTTTTATGATCATGACAAACATAAATATTCAAATCGACGCCTAATATTTAGTCCATTTTCATTTTCTGTGAGATTGTATTACGTTTTAAAAACAATTGCATATTTTATATTATTTTCAATCATTTAATAAATAAATTAACAAAAAATGTATTTTTCTTAACATATAAACCAGAGCATACTGGCGCATTCGTTTGCAAAATTGTTTTAATTCATATTTTTTTTTTTTTAAATGTCCGGAAGGCTTTCCTGATTATAAAAGTGTAAGATGACACTCGATATTTGTTGATGTTATTGTTTAAACAACGAAAAATTAATTAAGCCAGAAAAAATGCATTTTTTGCAATGAATTAATTTTTTTTATATTCTTTAGGATATTTCGAATAAAAAAAGTCCTTACGCCCATCATCGTATCTTCAACCCTTTAATTATTATGAATTTTTTAAAATCCAAAATTGACGAAAATTCTAATTTTCTTGAATTAAATAATATACCTTAAAATGCTATAATTTTAAATTTTTTACCGAATATTCAAACTATAATAAACAAAATTACCTAAATAAATTTTCAAAATTTTGTTTGTTGTTGTTTTTTTTTACGTTATAACAATATGCTTCCTACGCGCCTGTACTTTTAGAGAGAAGTACTTCTATCTGTGGTACATAAATATCAAGGCAGGTACTAGAGGTAGACCTGACTCTCGTGGATTCAGTAATACTAATTTGCATATCATACGCATCTAACAAATTATTTACCATTATCTTATTTTTTAAAATTTTAGCATTAACTAACATAATATCATGGATGTATTTTCTCATAAATATGAAAATTACAAAAATTTTGAACTTTTTAAATATATAATGAATATATTCGTACTTATACATTTATATACCTAAAATTTAAATTTTTTTGACCTGAACTGTTATACCTAGTGGATACAAAAATTAAGTTAGAAGTTGGATCCTACGTGTATCTGAATATGACAGTAATATATGTAATAAAGGGTTGATACATATTTCAGAGTACCTAGTATATTTACCAATAAATTTTCAGATTTTACAATATGTAACAGTTTTTTATCAAGCTAGATGGCGCTAGAATTAAAAGTAATGCAATTGCCAAATTCTCCATCAAATTATCTTTTCAATGATGTGTCATCCTTGGTACTTTCTCTAGTTAAATTGTAGGGGTTGTTCACTCTACTACTCAAGGGTTGAATGTCCCCCTACAGACTAAAATCAACCTGTTTCAGCATTTTCTTAAAATCCAGTGGTATTGCCAATTAACAGAATGGACTGGACTGTGCAACTCTGTATAATATAATTTTTCTACACTAAAATGAACAGTTACCTTTTTTTGTATTTTTAATAATCCAACTTAAATTTCTCTTCTCATATATCAGACAATATTTACCTTTTTGTAGCATGCTGCTGAAATTGAAAAGAAGCAAAATGAATCTGAAAACAAAAAACTCTTGGGTTCAAAAGTACAATATGGACATGTGGTACAGGTAAGAAGAAAATGAATTAAAATTACAAATGTTATATTGAAATAAATAGGTAATATGTTGCATGGACTTTTTTGAGTCAAATATTTTTTGCAACAATCTACAAAATATACTTCTATCGAATGCTAAATTTAGATAACTAATAAAAACAATTTATCAATTAAATCCATTGCATTTATCAATCTTGTTTCTATTAATAATTTCCCTCTAAACTTTTCAATTTGAAAGTAGTATTTAATCTGAGATAAAATTATACCAGCAAATTACTGTAATCAAGAGATTAATTCTTGTTTTAAAAATAAACAGAACATTAAAACGTTTATCATTAGCTTTGGTTTTGATTTCCTCTACCTGAATCAAATCTTTTTTATTACGTCTTTCAAATATTTAAGATTTTCTTTGATTGAATTTGGGTCGGGATGGAGTCTAAATCATCCATTATTAATGGATCTAGCATATTTCACTATCCTAGATGGATTTTGTATAAATTTTTATTTGGCCAAAATAATTTACTTGCATGCAACAAAATACATACATATTTAATTCATATTTAACTAATTGTAAGCGCAAACAATATGTTTGTTATAATGGATTTAATTCTAATTACTTTACTTCGACTAGTGGAGTTCCTCAAGGGTCCAATTCAGGGCCACTATTGTTCTTAATATTCATTAACGATTTGTGTGACTCGCTTGAATGCAATAATGTTTGCAGATGACTTAAAATTATATACCAGTATCTCTAGTACCTCTGATTGTTTAACATTGCAAAATCAAATTAACATATTGCATGAATAGTGTCACATAAATCGCCTCTTTAAATATTTCTAAATGTAAAATTGTGACTTACAGCCGCAAACATATTTCTTTAATAATATTATTTTGGAAAGAATAGAGCTCAAAAGAATTTGTCAAAAGCGCCAATTACCTTAATGTGTAGTAATGCAAACAAACTATATCAGATATTTGTGATATTTTCTGTTGCAGTATATGTGAATTAAAAAACAAATCAAGAGCTTATCTTTGAATTCATATTATTTTTTTAAATTTTTTATTTACTTATCTTATGTATTTTCTTTAATTTTATATTGTTAAATTTGCCTTGTAAATGGGAAATTGTTGGGCAATAAATTCTTTTATTATATTACAATATATAAAAATAAAAACTATTTGCATTTAAATAATTAAAAAAACTACTTCGAATTAAAATAAAATTTAATCAACCTAACATATAAAAAATGTTGTAGTTGCTACACCTGAAGTCAAATAAATACTTAACAGTAAACAAACGTTTACCGGCTTTATTAGAAAAAAATGCTATGAGGGTGTACTTAGATAGCAATGGTAATGAGGGATCTTGGTTTTACATTCTTCCTTTCTACAAACTCAGAACCACTGGTGATAACATCGTTCTTGGTGATAAAGTAAATTTAAATCCACTTAGTCCTGGACAGCAACTCCATGTATCTAATCACAAATTGCCAGACAATCCTGGCTGTAAAGAAGTGAATATTGTCAATGGAAATACGTCGTGGAAAGTTACTCTATTCTTGGAATACAGGGAAAATATGGAGGATATTTTAAAGGGGGGAGATGTCGTTAGATTGTTCCATGCAGAACAGGAAAAATTTTTGACTATGGATGAATATAGGAAACAACATCATGTTTTTTTAAGAACTACTGGACGTACTAGTGCTACAGCTGCTACTAGTAGTAAAGGTTAGTTTTTATATCTAGATTTAATTGAGTGTAATTTTACTACTACTCATATTTTAGCGTTGTGGGAAGTTGAAGTAGTAAAACATGATCCTTGTCGAGGCGGCGCGGGTAACTGGGATTCCTTATTCCGATTTAAACATTTAGCGACTGGCCAGTACTTAGCAGTAGATATAGATAATGATCACGTAGATTCTGAAGAAGAAAAAGACAAACTAAATGAATCTACAATAAGTGAAAATCGTAGATATCACCTAGTCCCACTTGGTTGCCTCTATGACATCGCTACTCTTTTCGAATTAGATCCTACCAGTTTGACTAGAGCTGATTCACTAGTGCCCCAATCAAGCTATGTAAGATTACATCACATGATTACAAATAGTTGGGTTCATTCGACTTCTGAATCTATTGATAAAGATGAAGAAAAACCTGTTATGTCCAAGGTTGGGTGCGCTGTTACTAAAGAAGATAAAGAAGCTTTTGCGCTCATTGCGGTATCGCCCGTTGAAGTGCGAGACTTGGATTTTGCCAATGATGCTTGTAAATTACTATCCATTTTGTCCGTTAATTTGGAACAAGGTACCATATCTCATAATGAAAGGCGGTGAGTAACATTTAATTGAAAGGTAAAAATTACTAAACTTTTGGCCAAAATGGGATCAGTTCCAATTACTGACCTCTCTGCCTATTCTGAAAAAAAATTAGTTTTAATGAAGACGAAAATACAAAGGCTCTGTCAACTATTGTTTGAACAGATTTTGTGTTTTTCTCCTTCTTTAAATCCATTTCAGACCATATATAGTATTTGGAATTTAATATTTGGTTAATTGTGCATCTGTTTCTCCTAAAGCTACATTGATACTCGCCTACTTTTTCAATATTAATTCACAGCTTTGTTTTTCTATTACCCTCTATACAATGTTTCCCTTTTAAAATGGTCCCAGCACTTGAATTTTTCCCCTTTTGTCACAGCATCCTTATTCACCTTTCAATTATCTTCTCACAAAGTTTTATTGCATGACTCGACAACTTTTTCCCCTATAGTTGTAGATCTGTATACTCCCTTTTTTGTATATTGGAAAAAGAATATTGCTCCTCAAATCATCCAACATTTTTCACGTCTCCAGATTTTATTGGTCAGCTCAACAAGACATTAGATATCTTTATATCCTCTAATTTTCCTGACCTTCACAGGAATTTCGTCAGGTTTTAAATATTCCTCAATACTGCTTTTACTTCTTCCTTGCTGACATGCTTGTCTTTCTTGGTGCTGAACTCGTTCTTGATGAGGCAACCCTGATTCATTTCTGACAGCGACCAGGCTAAGCATCTGTTTGGTAGTTGCAGGACATTTTCCGAATCAATGCCTCTGAAATTCTGACATTTGGTTTCTTTACGCTTCTTATGCCGTGGCCATAAAAAATGGAGTAAATTTTTTTAGGTCGTTAACAACGCTTCTTCATGACATCGTTTATTTTGTTGCCGAACTGGAGAATGAACAGAACAAAGCGGAAGCCTTGGAGTTAAAGGTTACCAATCCAAATCGTGATAGACAAAAACTGTTGAGAGAACAAGCTATTCTGAAACAACTCTTTAAAATATTACAAGTGAGATATATTTAAAATTATATAGATGAACAAACCAGTACAGTGTTTTTTCCAGGGTCCATTTTTGGACAATGGTGGTGAAGGACCATTTTTGAAGATAGAAGAGTTGAATGATCCTAGACATGCTCCTTACAAACACATATTCAGACTATGTTACAGAATTTTAAGGCTTAGTCAACAAGATTACAGAAAAAACCAGGAATACATTGCGAAACATTTTGGATTCATGCAGAAACAAATAGGATACGACATTTTGGCTGAGGATACCATAACAGCACTATTACATAACAATAGAAAATTGTTAGAAAAACATATAACAGCAGCGGAAATTGAAACATTTGTGGGTTTGGTTAAGAAGAATATGAACTACTGGGAATCACGCTCGTTGGATTACCTATCGGATTTGTGTATTTGTAATAAAAAAGCTATACCTGTTACTCAAGAATTAATATGCAAAAGTGTATTAAGCGACAAAAACTCGGACATCCTTATTGAAACTAAGATGGTCGACACCGAAGTCGAAGTACAAGAAATAAATGAAGATGGATTATTGGACCGTGAAGAATCTATGATAACTGATGTTGAAGAAATACAACTACAATTTAGTGAACCCAAAAAACCAGTGTTTTTAACAGATCTTTGCAGAAACGCGAAGTTGGGAATAAAAGAAGATAAGGCTATTTTAGATTACTATAGACATCAGCTTGACTTATTTTCGAATATGTGTTTAAACAGACAGTATTTGGCTCTTAACAACCTGTCGCCTCGTCTACCGATAGAATTGATATTGAAGTGTATGTCCGATGAAAATGTCAGCTTCGATTTGCGGGCATCATTTTGTCGACTCATGTTGCATTTACACGTTGATAGAGATCCTCAAGAGCCTGTCACACCTGTCAAGTATGCCAGATTATGGTCAGAAATCCCATCACAAATGTCAATCACAGAGTAAGTATTTTCATATATTTTCGTATTTTACATGACCACCAGTTCAATAAATAAACTTAAAATAAAACTAAGTACTAAAATCTATTACATAGGTTTTGGAAAAAGTTAAGCTACTAAACCTATTAGTATTAGTCAATTAATATTTTAACAATATGTTGCTAGGGGTTTGATATTTCATATTTTTGCATGTCGATGACATGTCTGGAAAGGGAAAGGTAATTAATCTTGAAAACACTTGTTATAATGATGTAAGGTAGTCAGTCATGTTGGATTTAGATCAAAGAAGATTTGTGTTTGTTTTTATCTATTATATGAAAACTTTTATTAACGTATCTAGACAGATATAGTTGACTGGTTTTTTCTATACCCAAATTGACGAGGCGATTATGTAGGGTAGGATGAATTATTATTATTATACTCTTTACTATACAAAGTGTGAAGAGTATTATAGGTTTACTCTGTCGATCCGTCCGATGTTTGTCTGCAAGATAAGTCAAAAAAGAAAATGATATGTACTTGAAAATATCAGGAAAAATCAAGCTCAATAAGGGCACGAAGTCTATTGATTATGAAAAAAATCTGAATAAAAATGGGGGCAGGGGGTTGAACTAAAAAAAAAAAAAATAGAAATCAAAGACCAAAAACCAAAAAGACCAAAATATTTAGTAAATATCAAGCTCTATACGGGAATTAATAAATAAGTAAATAAATAAAAATGTGAAAATATTGAAAAATCTAACTCCGAAACAAGAAAGATATCAAATTGAAATCAGGCTTTCTAAGGGGATAAAGCCTATTGATTCTGAAAAAAAATCTGAAAATGGGGAGTTGAGGGATCTGTTAAACTGTGGAAGATTATAATATAGAATGCCAAGCATTTTATATCTTCATTCTACTTATTTTACTGTCATGGACCTATATATTTAGAAAATTGTGTTTGCTGTATTCCAGATCATCATAGTGTTTTTTAATTTTAGTTATGATTCCAATAAAACGCCAAATCCAAACAAAGAAGCGGTTAGAGAAAAATTCTCATCAACCATAGCCTTTGTGGGAGAATACCTTTGCAACGTAGTTGCCAAAATGTGGTCATTCGCAGACCAAGAACAAAACAAGTTGACTTTTGAGGTAAGGCATGTCTATGTTTGCGTTTGGCTTGACTTTTTTTAAGGTTTGATTTTTTAGGTGGTGAAATTAGCTAGAGAACTAATTTATTTTGGATTTTATAGTTTTTCTGATTTGCTAAAATTAACCAAAACGTTGCTAAACATTTTGGATTGTGTTTCTGAGAGTGACTTTTTGGAGGGTCGGGTTCCATCAGTTGACATAGATTGTAAGTAGTTTGCTATAAACGTGAATATTAAATAGTTTCGTTCTTATACATTTGAATGCATTTTTATCATTATTTCGGTTTTATTAAATCAATGATTCTCTACAATAAAACATATTAACAGTTTTCCCTCCAAAATTTTATTGATCTGTCTCTCTTGCTTTGTTTGCTCTGTTTTTGTGCCTTATTTCTTTCTTTCAATATAATCCAATTACCTGAGAATACGTCTCATCTTTTTACCTATAAAGGCTTAACACCTGAACTTTTCCTAATATATTATCCAACAAATTTTTAACACAACTTACACCTTCTCTAATCTTCTTTACAAGCTTCTCTACTTTTTCTTATTATCTAATCTGGATAAAATCTACTTTTTGGCTTTTCCGAGCAACCCATGGATGAAACGGTTTTCTTATATAAATTTTGGTCGGAAACATTTTTATGAACAGGTTTGTAAAACTTAGCTTTCACTAACTTAACTGTTTTGATCAAAATTTTAAAATTTTTTATTGTAATAGAAAATGTTTTCAAATGTATCTCTTTTTTAACAGCTTCACAATATTCAATTTACATTTGTTTTGATACAGCTGCCGAAGCCATTCCAGAGAAACGAGGTAGTAAATGTGGTTTGAAGTGTGCCTATTTTTTTACTTGCTACTTTGGATTGCAATCCCGCAGTTTGCATTGGTCCGCGAAAAAAACCGTTTGTCCCCAATATAAATCTTAATTTGTTGATTGATTCCCCAATCATTAAGTCTCTCGACTCTCTAGAACAAATTTGCAAAGTTATTCCTAGTAGTTTGGTGAATGACTAAAAGATGGCGTTATATGTTGAGTAAAATTTGTACATTTTTTAAATACGGTAACGGAAAATTTCCTAGAAGGAAAAAGAAAAAAAAATTGTACTTTTTATATAGTGAAATTTAGAAGTTTGGGGTCAAGTAGACCCCACGTATTCTCTCCGAAAGTTGATCGAGTAACTTAGTGCACAATAATACATAAAATGTTAGGAAAGTTATATAATGAAATACTTATTAATGCGTCACTTTGACATAAAGAGGTATAAATATAGATCCACTATTATAAGGAACTACAGATAGTAGAATATATTTTATCTCCCTATAATTTAAGCAGTCTCTACTATTTGTGTGTTCTTTATCATAATTTCTGCCAAGGCCACTGCTTCCATTGTTTGATCCTATATGCAGTTCTTGGATAGTCAGTCTCAACTTCTATATGAAGTAGAGGAAGCATTACGAGTATTGTTCAATAACTACATGTCCTACACGTTCTTCTTTACCAAATGAGGTCGTTAAAAAAAAACATCTGCGGAATTGCAATACCTACTTACCTGTAAATATTTTTGCACCTATATTTAGATGTATAAATTGTCTTTCGATGTTTTATGTTTTTATTTAAAAATAAAGAACTAAGGTTATATTTTTTCATTAGCTGAAGGAGGCGTTTTAAGAACCATTGGAGATATGGGGGCTGTTATGACATCCTTAACTTTAGGTTCTACAAGAGGAGGTTTATCTCCAAATTCCGTTCAACACGGTAGATCCATACAGTACATGAAAGAATACCCTTTAGTAATGGATACTAAACTGAAAATAATAGAAATATTACAGGTATTAAAATACGAAGGTGCAATACTTGAGTTTAATGTCATAATATTGTATTTTTTTTTTTTAGTTTATTTTGGATGTGAGATTGGATTATAGAATTAGCTGCCTTTTGAGCATATTTAAGCAAGAATTTGATGAAAATGAAAAATCCGGCGGTACCACTAATGTAAATTTAGATCAAAAAAATATCGATTTAGAATTGATAGGTCGTCAGGCTGAAGGGATTTTTGGAAGCAGTGAAGAATGCGCTGTTTTAGATTTAGACGGACACGGAGGACGAACGTTTCTAAGAGTTTTATTACATTTAACAATGCACGATTATCCTTCTTTAGTATCAGGAGCCTTACATTTGTTGTTTAGACATTTTAGTCAAAGACAGGAAGTCTTGCAAGCATTCCGACAAGTTCAGCTGCTTGTTTCCGATAGTGATGTAGAATCTTACAAGCAAATCAAAGCCGATTTGGATGTTTTAAGGCAGTCAGTTGAAAAATCTGAGCTGTGGGTTTACAAATCGAAATCTTTAGAAGACCACCAACCGACTAAAAAATCTAAAGACGATGAAGAAGAAACTACAACCAGCTCTAAGGGTACAACGATGGGCATTTTAGAAAAAAAAGGTTCTGCAATAAACTTAGATGTAGGGCCACCGTTACACCCCTACCAAGCTGATGAATACAAAAAGATACAACAGATATTAATTAGAATGAATAAATTGTGTACTCAGGGATACGTAGGTGGTGTGGTTAAACCTCAAAAGCACGAACAGAGACTTTTAAGAAATGTCGGAGTTCATACTGTTGTACTAGATCTCCTGCAAGTTCCTTACGATGAAAAAGAAGACATCAGAATGAACGAGTTGATGCGATTAGCCCACGAATTCCTGCAAAATTTCTGTTTGGGAAATCAGCAAAATCAGGTGTTGCTTTACAAGCAATTGGATCTTTTCCTTAATCCAGGAGTACGTATTTTGAAATATATGTTAAAGTTATATAATAGTTAAAGTAAGAACAAACCGGACCTCTCGCGGAAGCAAGAATGTGCCACTGAGAATACTTCGCGATGTTATGTGTCTCAAGTATATTGAGAGATTTAAATTTTTGCAACGGTAAAACAGAACTTTACAGAGACATTTAAGAAAAAATCTGATGTGTCCAACACATGACTTTCCTATCTAGTTGTTATAGGCTTTTCAGGTTACAATCCATTGCAGCACCTCTATAAATGTTTAGAGGATAAACTAAATATATACATTTTCCACATAAATCTAACTCGAAACATTTTTCTACAGATGTTCATTGAAAACGAAAATACTGAAAAATTAAATTTTTTCCATTACGGTCCATTTTAGAAAAATCATGTAAAAAACAAAAATTATAGAGATCGATATCGCAAACAACTTTTAGATCAACAATTTTTTTAAAAATCAGAATTTGGCACATTTTGTCAAATTTCTCGAATACGAACCATTTCAGGAAAATTTGACATGAAGCAAAAATTATAAATAATAATATTAGAAGTAACTTTTATTTAAAAAAATTTCTTCTCCAAACATAAATAACAGATATATTCCATAAAATATAAAAACGACCTCCTATAAAGTGCCCCCAGATGTTCTGAATTTGTCCAAAATCTAATCATTTCACCTCAGGCCGAAATAAAACTTAAATTTAAAATTTAATGTCTTTTTCCTTTACCCGTTTTTGAGTTTTTTTCAAAATTCGTAATTTATACATTTTCTCAAATATCTCGAATACGGTCCATTTTACAGAAATTATGTGTGGAATAAAAATTGTAGAGAATTATATTACAAACAACTCTTATTTAAACAATTTTTATAAAAAATTAATTTTTTTTACATTTTTATAATACGGACCATTTTAGGAAAATTTTGTATGGAACAAAAATTATAGATAATAATGCTGTAAGTAACTTTTATTTGAAGAATTTTCTTCTCCAAACGTAAATAAAAGATATATTCCATAAAATATAAAAATGACCACCTATTAAGTATCCCCCAGATGTCCCGACTGTGCCCAAAATCTAATCAGTTCACTGGAGGCCGGAATAAAGCTTAAGTTTAAAATTTGGTGTTTTTCTTTGTATCCGTTCTTGAGTTATCAAGGATACAGACACACACATACACAAAGACAGCATCGCGAAAATAGTCAAAACGGATAGGAAAGTAAAAAAGTGGAGAACTAAAATATTTATTAAAACGAGAAGCAGCAAATTTTCATAAATTTCATACAGAATGATTTGTTATTCCTTTTAAAAATTTTAAAATAAAGTCTCAGGAATTAAAAATTTTCAAAGTGTTCGGATTGCGTTTAATGAACAAAACTTCATTGAAATTGAACTTTTGTTGTAATAAATGATTGAATTACCTCCAAAACGATTTTGAGACACCGTATATACATTATAAATACATTTAAAAAAAGAATAATTATACACTCTTGCTTTTTTAAATGGCCTACTTCAGAAACATTTCTCATGCATCATTCCATATTATTTTTTTAACCTATTGTACTATTTTTATAGATTCGAGAAGCTCAAACAGTTTGTGCAATATTCCAAGACAATTCAAAGTTGTGCAATGAAGAAAATGAGAAGGTTATACAACATTTTGTTCACTGTATAGCAACTCATGGCAGACATGTGCAATATTTAAAGTTCCTACAAACTATAGTTAAAGCAGAAAATAAGTTTATTAGAAAATGTCAGGATATGGTTATGCAAGCGGTAAAAAAATTCATAGTATTTTTATTTCATTGGTTAAATGTAAATTATTTGTTGAACATTTATAAATAGTACATCAATATGTCATCCTTGTGTTATCTGCATATACGAGGATTGTTATCTGCATATACGAGGATTTTTTTGCCAGTTTTTAACTAGTGAAAACGAAGGAATTTCGGTTGGTGTTACGCCTTTCAAATGAAAGTACTTTATCATTGCTCATTTTTTCATTTTTTACAAAATCGCAAAATGCTTTTTATATAAATAAAAATGTCCTTGGTTTAATCGGTCATTCTTTTTATTTTCAATCGTTTAGCACTACATATTTTTCGGAAATTATTTTTTTTCCATCTTCGTGTGCATTCAAAATTCAAATTAAAAAAAAACAAGGGGACGATAACAAACAGTTTAAAAGTTTTTAAAATAACAGAACCCATAATTCACTTTAGTGTACTGTCAAAAACAAACTAATAGACAAAATTGCTCTGTACTGTCATATTTAACCTAGTAAAAGATGATTTTATAGAATGGTAAAGAAGATTACATCGAATTCGCGTATCTTCCAACAATAGTTTACATTTACAATAATATAATTTAAACAAATATGCCCATGTAATGTGGATATTGTTTATGTTTTTAGTTAATAAACGCTGGTGAAGATGTATTGGTATTTTATAATGATAAAGCGTCGTTTAACCATTTTATTGAAATGATGCGTTCGGAACGCCACGCCATGGATGAGAGTAGTCCATTGAAATATCATGTAGAGTTAGTAAAATTATTGGCCTGTTGTACTATGGGTAAAAATGTGTTTACCGAGATAAAATGCCATAGTTTACTGCCACTAGATGATATCGTGGCAATGGTGATTCATCCTGACTGTATTCCTGAAGTTAAAGAAGCCTATGTTGGATTTTTAAATCATTGTTATATTGATACAGAGGTTGAAATGAAAGAAATTTATAATTCCAGCCATATGTGGACACTTTTCGAAAAATCTTTCCTCGCTGATATGGCGGATATAGCGACAGCACCAAATGATAGAAAGCATTCTGATAGAGCTTTAGAAAATTATGTTACTAATTGCGTGATGAATATTATCTCAACTTTTTTTAATAGTCCTTTTTCTGATCAAAGCACGACGGTCCAGGTATGTAAATAAGATATAATTTAGAGTAAAGGGATCCTCTCCTAAAAAATCCTATTTTTTAACACTGCATGTGCTTATAAGTTAGTTATTGCTTTGTTTAACTTTATATCAGTTTGGTAGATATTGATAGTTTAGGTGTTATTATCATTATTCACTATCAATATGAATTACCTTGCTTTTATGGTGTCTTTTTTGGGTATCTTTCTATTAGAAACATCTGCATGAAGCCAGGGTATATTGGAGCGACTCTACTATGGATGAATATGATCCATTCTCGGGTAATGTTCAACTCAAACAATCTCCATTTTCAACTGACGTAAGTAGTACATTTCGTCTAAGACAATGAAAATTTAACCCTTGTTTAAGCTTGTATAATACTAACTGAAATGAATTGTCTACGAGGGTGAATCAAATATTCCGGAATTATTTTTGTTTGTAAAAATAGTATATTATTTGTTGAAGCGATAGAACAGTTTACCACCGAAAAACACTTTTGGACATAATATAAACACTAGATACATAAAGTATCTCCTGTACTAATGTTTTGAAACATGTTAGAAATAACTTTATTACGTAAATGATTGTAAATAATATAATATGATACAAGTTTACATGTAGCGTAACAACAACAAACCAATGACACAACAATATTTCAATTAGACAACCTAGTTAATAACATGATAAATGTAAAAATTGTTGCTTTCCAGAACATTGGCTGTTTTCTAACCAAGCGACATGTTTCAATCTTACAAATTTTAATAACGTTAACTATTTTTTGTAGAGAAACACATCCAGGTACGTATATATATATATATATATATATATTCACAACACTTTACAAAGCGCTGAGATTCCAGAAATTAAGAATATGTCAAAAGAAATCTACTGTGAAATAACTGGGGCGTTTATTAAAAAGCTTAATCTGGTACTCATTTGTTATATATAGGTCCAATTCACAATATTCTAATTTTGAAATATTTCTTACAATTTTAACAAATGTCTTATTACTATTAGAAGCTAAACATAAAAATAGTAGAATCATTATATGTGGGGATTTTAATGTAAAATTTTTAGAACCTGATAGCAGAACAAGACAACTCATCGACTTGTTACTTCAGTTTAATTTTGAACAAACAATATTTACATATACTCGTATTAAGAGCTCTCAAACATGTCCAGACAACATATTTGCTAACTTTCCTTTTGCTCAGACACGCGTGTTAAGGACTACAAAGTCAGACAATGACCCTCAATTATTAACTTTCCTAAATCATGAGCGCTCCATATTAGGAGATATAACCCATTTTAGATCCTTCTCTCAAAATAATATAAATAATCTTCTGCAAAATGAAACCTGGCATGACATGAGAAAAGCAACCAATGCAAATAAAAAAGTTGAAGCACTTCATGATACATTTACGAAACATTTTAATGCCTCAATTCCAAATATATCCCAACCTATAAGAAAATGTAATAAAAACTTGAGTTATATGAATACAGATGAAATAAAAATACAAAAAGAACTAATCCCATTTTTACAGGACGTCATTAAAAACAAACCAACCGACTACAATAAAAAATTATATAAACAAGAAAAAACTAAATACAATGTATTGCTAAAAAATGCAAAACAAAATAACTTACTTCAACAAATTAATAATTCAGACAATAAATCTAATACTGTATGGCAAATAATAAATAATGAAACAGGACGTAATAATAAAAATAAAGTAGAATCTGAAATCGATATAGAAACCTTTAATAAATATTTTGTAAATCATTGATCTGATATAGTAGAAGGCATTCTCAATAACAAAATAAAATTGACTTAACTTGTTATATAACCGAAAACATCAATCACTTTTCTTAGCTCCTTTTACTGAATCTTTCAAAGACTATTCGAGTTTCATGTTGGAGATAAAAAATTGTATCTTTTCCACACTATTAACCCTGACTCAACCTTCTTACATGCGCGCAATTGGCCACTCGAATGTTCGAGAGCGGCCCAGCAAGAATCGGGAACTCCGATGTTCCAGTAACTTCGTTTTAGCCTTCTATCCATCTCCAGTGGCGTCCCATATTTTATGTATGTATTTTATTTCATCTTTGGTGGATATAGGAATGACTCGCTTTTGTAGGTTTTGTTTTTAGGCATTTCGTAGCGGGACGCATGCACTCAGCGGGTCTTATGTTGAACAACCCTGACCTATAAGATAGATAAGGAAATTCTGAAAATATAACAAGAATATTTTACTGCAGGAAAATTTGAACGATTTAATATAATAATACTCACAATTTATTTCTAAAAGAAACGCTTGTGTTGGAGTAATCCCTACTATGAACGCAAAAAAAATAAATTCCGGTTTGTATGTGATTCACTCTCGTAAATTAAGCTGTGCACTTACCAAATTATAGTTCGTGGAAATTGTAACAAGCTATATTTCCCAGTAACTATTATTACATTTTAATTTTATGGGTATTTTTGTCTAATTATCTCCCTCTACTTATTGTATTGCAACAAGACATAAAAATAGTTTTTTCCTACGACCTTATATGAATCAGATGCATGATTTCTATTATGGTTGATTAAATTTTTTACCTATTGATTTTTATGCGTAGATCCTAGCTATTTATTTTTAACAATTAGTAAAATAATTAAAAATAACTACATAATATATTTTTTGTTTTTCTGGTTAATGCACATATTTGATTAGTTGCATCGTTTGACATTGAGCCTTCATGGCTCAGGTAGTTAAGCGTTCAATTTTGTGGTTCAATTCCGGATAGAAGCAATAATTTTAATTCAGAAAACATTTATTTGTATTAAATACCTAGATTTTATTTATCAGAATATAATCTCTACAGTTAGGTAATCTTTATACTATTTATTTTGTACTATTATGATGATTCAAAAAAAAATTGTAAGGAAACAAGTACCTAGGTATCATCTTTAATAATAAAAAAGTTGTGTATTTGTTATATTTAAAAAATAACTAATGAAAAACATTACTATATTGTAGTATTTTTTTACCTAAAACAAACCTGGAATCAGTCACATCTTGTTTGAAGCTCTATAGCCAGATTTCCTGGTTTTGCATAATTTTTATAAAATTATTTTATGGTCGTAGGAAAAATATTGTACATCGCTGGTGTAAAAGTGATTTTTTACATTCGTGTGATTGTCGAACTAGGCTTACGCATTGTATGAAAAATATCACTTTTCACACTTTTAATATAAAATACTATTATTATGGAAGCTGTAGAATAAAATATTTAGTGTTTTTAAGATGTACCCTTAGACATTCTTAATTTCTAATCAATACACTTCCATGTCGTAATTTAATTAATTTTTTATTATGACGTGTTAAAATTTCCCGATATTTAATTATTTTTGGAGGTGCAATAAAGTTTTACTAATTTAATCACATTGTATTGAATTAACGCTTTGTTTTGAGCTCTGACATGGTAAACTTTAAGTGTGGGGGCTTTAACCAAAGGTGGAAGACTAATATTTATACATTATTCATAATTAGTTAGTTTTGGTGCAAACAAATTCTTCAAAACGAAAATTTTTACAAACGCTCGATTATAAGGGAATATATTTACAACTATATAAATGTAGTATACAATACATTGAAAAATAATGAGACTGGTTCTGTTATTTTATAGACGTGCAGATTAAACTGTTCAAAATGGTTTATGTATCCACTTTAAACTGAAAAAAAAAACACACATTTCTCTCATATCTAAATTCTGTGTGGCCAAAACAAAACCACCACCTCTACGACACTGTCTAATGTTCAGAGCGATCGTTGCTATACTTAATATGTAAACAGACCATATGGCGCATTCAACGATCGGTCACGTGGTGTCCCAAACTTTCGTTGGTTTACCTTTATTTTATCTGTGGAAATACGAATACCCTTAATAATTAAGTCGGTAGATATCCAATTCCTTGGTAAATGCTAAATGCATATTCTGTGAAAAACACTTCCTAATATTCACAGTAATACATTTTTTTCGAAAATATGCAATATTTTCTGAAATTTGGTAAAATATACGAAACAGTGCATATTTATTTTGCATTTTATTCCGCTCACATATATTTATCATCCTTAAAATAATTTTTTTTTTAGATTTTAACTTTCTTTTTGTATGTAATAACATATTTCTAATGCCAATCTTTTGGACAGCAACATTTTGTTGTAGATTCGACTACCACCGTTTATTTTATTGAAGAAAAAGTGAAATGATCAAATTAAAAATGTTTATGTAACATAACATAAACTTTTTTTTTCCTGGGCTCGTCTGACTATGTGTCTCCGAATAACACTGAAGCCTATTGGCTTATTGTGTTTTACCCCATGTTAGTTCATAGCACCCACTCTATCACCTCTGTACCTTGTACAAGTTTGTACAGATCCTTGGGTGAGTGGTTTCTATACGTTGTTGGATCAACATGCGGTTGTCCAAAAAGTGCCTGTCTTTTGCGATCTAGAGCTTCGCATTCGCACAGTATGTGTTTGGCCGTTTCTGGTTTCTTGTGACAGTCGCCACATGAGCTCCCCATTGTATATGCCAATTTTGTTCAAGTGTCCCTTTACTGGGGCGTGCCCAGTCATGAATCCTGTTATCACTTTCAACTGGTTCCTATTCATAAATAGTAGTTCTCCAGTTCTTTTGGGACATGGTCTGCCTATGAAGGCTTTTCAATGTGCATGTTTTGGGGTACTTCCCCAATAGTTAATATGTATTTCCCGAATCCAGTCGTTTATGAAACCCCGGACTGTACATTTTGGTACTCCTGGGTTTGTGTCTGGTTCCGGTGTTTCTTTTGACCCTCTTTTTGCAAGTTTGTCAGCCTTTTCGATGCCTTCGATCTCTTGGTGACCTGGCACCCAAAATAGTTTTACTCTATTTCGGTCTGCCAGTGTTCTAAGTTCTTCGATGCATTCCCATACCAGCCTCGACGTAACTTTCTGACCCGATATGGCCTTAAGTGCCGCTTTTCTGTCTGACATTATTTGAATATGTTGATTTTAGACAGCTCTTTCATTGTTTGTTTTTGCACATTGCAAAATTGCGTATACCTCGGCCTGAAATACCGAGGAATGTATTCCTATAGCATAGCTATGGTTAGTATCAGGGTTTTTGGAGAATACTCCCGCCCCAGTGACTTCCGCAGTCTTACGACTCGTCTGTATACCAGGTTTGTTCCTGTCGTTGGGCATTGGGCTCCCTTATGGTGATCTCCGCTCTTTCTTGTATTAAAACCTCAAATGGAGTATTAAAAGAGTACCTCTCCTGTCACTAACCTTGAGATACTCATGTGACCTGGCCTAATGTCAAGATTTCCCAGTGTATTCCCTAATCTGTAAGCACCTAATCTTGCCTCCCCTTGTATCACATAGTAAAGAGGTGGGAGTCCTATTAGTGCTTCCATTGCAGCTGTGGGGGTTGTTTTTATTGCCCCCGCAACTCCGAGGCAGGCAAGTCTTTGTACCTTGCTTAGCCTCGTTATTGCTTTCCTTTGCTGTGTCTTTGGCCACCACACCAAAGCTGCGTATGTTATTATCGGTCTCACCACCATGTTATAAAGCCAATATACCATGTCTGATTTTAACCATAAACATATAGTAAATGTTAATTAATTCAGTAGTGGATATTTCAGCGTTACTGTAAGAAATAGTTTTGAAGAAAATTTTGCTTTTGGTTGAGTGCATGTGCTTTTTGGTACACACCACGTTGAACTAATCTAGCAGCTATACATGTTTTTTCTTATAGTAATCACCTTGTGTTCTATTTTGTCACCGTTGTTTTTTATGAAACCATATTTTGCAGACAAGGCAACCCATTTTTGTACAGCTATTGCAATCAGCATTCAGAGTATCGCAGTGTCCTTGGCTAGCAGCATCACAACGCTTTAATGTTGAAAATTGTATACGTACCCTATCTGAAGTCGGTTAGTCTTAAATGTTTTTTTTTTTTAATATTTATACTTACCATTGGCAAATAACATGCTGTTCGTTGTTTTACGAAAATCACGTACTTTGTCTCTCTTCATAAATCTGTCTCAAAATTGAGGCATTTCTTGCATATAACTCACTAAAATAGTGCTCTTTTTTACTCATTTTTAAGACAAAAAGTTTATATAACCGTAGGTCGTAATCGGCTTTATTTTCAAAGTAAAGGTTGTTAAAATATATAAAAAAACGTTTCTAAATGTCTAGAAGACGAAAATTAGTATCAAATTGAAACTTGGTCAAAATTTTTACTGCAGCAAGGGATTGGGCTTCTATTATTTTTACTACTATTTTCACCTTTTTTTTTCTAACACTTTTTTACATGCCATATCACGTTTTGGCTAGAATTTTAGCACGTATTTAATAGTTCTGTTACATTATTATATATATCCAATGTGGTTCCTAAGTAATGGCACACAGATCTCCAGTGGATTACCTCACATTATAAACATAGTTATTCCCAAGGCTATATCTAATTTGAAAAAAGTACATGCATGTTCTTTGCCATCCCGTGTCCTAAAAAGATTGAAAAGATTGATTTCAGACGTTTTATTTTAGCTAAAAATAGAAGTATCGCGATACCATTGGATTTAGAAAGCCAAGTTTCAGCCATGTTTAATAGAGCCACTATTTTAACCAGACAAACTAGCAAATGGTTACAGGCTTCAAAAATACCAAAAATGGAGAGATCTCAATCACAGGTAAAGTTCATTTTACAATAATTTTAGGGTTCTTAAATATTGCTTTGGGAGGTGTTAAACAATTCACCTTACAGTCCTTGTATTTGACTCATTAAAACAGTCTCTAAAAGGGAATCTATAGACTTAAAGTTTCCATTAAAGAATCATTGTAAATATATTGTAGGTTGATTCCACTTTCCAAAATGAAAATTATTTTTCGTGTTTCAGCTCATACGTTTGGATAGAAGTATCATTGAAGGTTTACAAGGCATAGTATCTGTTCTACAAGACCAATTAAAACCATTGGTCCTATCCGAGTTGTCTTTATTAGTGGATGTTTTGTACAGACCTGAACTTCTGTTCCCGCGTGGTACTGAACCAAGGAAAAAATGCGAAAGTGGTGGTTTTATCAGAAGGTAGTTTTTAAATTATGATATGCTATGATATAAAATCCGTTTGAAAAGTAACGATAATTCCATTTGCACATATAAAAATATAGCTATAATTGATTCAAATAAAATGTTCCGCAATCCGCAATGGCTCCAGGCCACACAGGTTAGGTAACTAATGAAAGCACATTTTTTAAAACAGTACAAGTTTTTTGGAAATGTTTGAAGGGCGCCGGTAAATACGTTATCATCCGCATATTTTAGATTGTGTTAATGCCATTTCTACCTTTACTGTATTCAATTTTGTTTTATTTTTAGATTAATTAAACATACAGAAAAACTGATGGAGGAAAAGGAAGAAAAGCTGTGCGTCAAAGTCCTAAGAACCCTCAGAGAAATGGTGGCGATCGACGGCGAATACGGAGAGAAGGTTATTATGTATTTTATTTGAGTCTATATAAAATTAACTTTTTTTCTTTTCAAATGCTGCTTATAGAGTGAGAAACAATCTGAAATGGTACGGTATTGTAAAATTGTGTGTAGTTTGGTTTTTGTTAATGTTAAAACTTAACGTTATTTTAGTTTAACACCTTTGTATGGTATGCGGTTAACATGGTGAAACTGCCCTTAACCGTAATTGGTTGCTTTTTGTTTGTATACACCTTAATTATTATTTGTCAATGACCTCATTTTCTAACAGTTAAAACTTTTGTAGATACATATTTTTTATGCTAACGGAGTTTTTAAAAGTCTACCATTGACTACAGATGTCCACAATTGTAGATACTTTTTTTTTCTGATACCCCTGGGGGTACATTTTGAAAACAATATTTTAAATGTGTTAAAATAAATATCACATTTTAAAATTAAAATACCGAAAAATGTTATATCTGGAAACTACAATTCATGAGTCAAAGGGTTAAAGAAAATAAATAAAAACAAAAATTACATTTGCTCAATAAACATTTTAGCATTATTATGTAATTTATTTAACTAAATAGAAATTGGCTATTACACAAATTAAAAATAATCAATTTTGGAATGGGCGCAGTTAAATCATTTTTTTATATTTAGCATTCTTATTTTATTCCTTACCATTAATACATAAAATGGTCTTGGTATTTTTTTTAAGAAGGAATATTTTATACTTATTAGAAAATAGTCAAATGCATTTTTTCTTATGATATGTTCTCTGTTCACAATTTTACGTTATACGAGTAGAAAGATGTTCGTAACATATACAGTATCGGCCACCGAACGCTTTCCAATACGCCTTACACAAATGCCTGTGAAAACTACAGAGAGCAGGAAACGAATAATATCGATCCAGTTTATGTTACAACGTTACAACGCGGTCTAAATGCGGTATAAACTGGCAACGTTGATATTGTTCGTTTCCTGCTCGTCTAATGCTAACTCTATAGTTTTCACTTGCACTTGTACAAAGTGTATTGGAAAACGTTGAGTGATCAACACTGTATACCCCAATAGTTTTCGGAAATTGTTCAGTATGTAATTTTAAAAAGACCCTTCTTTCAAGTTATTCATTTACTATTTATTTAGCAAAAAAATTTAAACTAATATGTCAATTGAATTTAAATAACTTGCACTTATTTAATGTGCTTCATGTTCTGGACTTCTGTCAATTTTGAAAGATTTTGGGTCGTAACTGACCGTTGTTGTGGGCCTCTTAGTCTTTGTCTTGAATCTTTCTACTAAATATTGCCTAAAAATCGTCAATGGGACCAGCTTCTGAGCCATTGTGAGAATGATCATTTCTGGAAAAAGGGATATGATCGTCCACAAGTGCCATTGATGGAATATACCAATATCAAGACATCCATTGCTTATTAATGTTTGTATCCAATACATCGCGCCCTGGGCACTGTTTTTAATTCTTACATTTTTTTAGTGATACTTTAAGCATTTTACTGAATCTTTTTGGTTACTTTTGGCCGTCTTATTTCCGAAAACTTTTGTGCTTGCGTTCATTTTTAATTCATTAAAAAACATTTTTTTTAAGACTTTAAACTTCCAGGGCGACGTTTTACGCAATAGCTTATTAGCCCGATATTTCGGACGCGCGTTTATACAAACCAGTAACTCCGTAGAACTAGGAAACGGTCTTACCTTACCAGCTACTCACGGCCCAGGAGGTAACATCTAAATCCTTGAAAACAACCAAACCCTAACAACCATTTTTTTTACAGCTAAGATATTAAGTCGTGCTGGCAGGACCTTGCACGAAGTTCAGACTCATCTCGATAGGGAAGGTGCATCAAATTTGGTTGTTGAATTGGTGATAAAAAGTGGTAATTCGCCTTCGATATTTAGCGAGGCTGTTGAACTGGGTATAGCTCTGCTTGAAGGTGGTAATCCTATTATACAGAAAAGTATGTTCAACAAACTTGTCGGAGGAGATATGAGCCAGTCGTTCTTTAGGGTAAGTTGATTTAAGGTTATTGTTACTTTTGTTGCTTGGTATTATCAATACATTTTTTAAAAATCGTTTAAAATCCATTTATTTCTAACCAACGATTCAAATGTTTGATCCTTTATACAAATCGGTTATATATTATATTCCCAATATCGCAGTAACTAACGACTTTTTGTTTTTTGTTTATATCATGAATTGGAACACCCATCTTACCAGCCCATCTAACAAAAAGTTATAACATTGAAAATTATTTTCTATCCCTGCTATTCACGTTTTGATATAATGCAATGTCTGTTGCGGTATTAGACAAAGGAGTAGTTGTCTTCAGGAGGGAAATTATCCCTCGTTGTGACGCGGCTTTTGAGTTTTTCTCTTTTTCCTTTATTATAGTTCAGAACAAGAATAATTACAAGCAAAGAAAATCCAATTTTGTATAGTTTTTCTGACAGTAGTCTTCTTTATTACTCATAATGCGACATATGTGTGTCTTATTAAAAATTTACAGATTACTTGCTCAAAAATACTTACAATTTCAACACAATAAACATCACGATTTGTACACGTTGCCACTTTTATCTACTTTGAACAAGAATAACCCAGTAATTCCATTCGTTATTTAAGTGCGGTTATTTTTAACTTTATAACAACATAAATCTCAATTTTAAAGCCGTAAAACTATAAAATTAATTCTTTTGTTTTATTGATTTAGGTGTTCCACGATAAAATGAAAGACTCGCAGCAAGAAATAAAATCTACTGTTAGTGTAAACACGTCAGAATTAGCAGCCAAAGCTCAGGGGGACAAAGAAGACGGTAAAGACGGCGATAGATCTAAAAAATCTGATAGCAAAACGAACGGCATACTGATTACCCCTGAGCTAAGAGAAGAGCTTAAATGCGCTGCTGGTGACAGCGATGCGCAAGTTTTGGCTAATATAAGGCTAGTTGCAGAAGACGGTACATCGACAGCTTCTTCTTTGGAAGATTTGCTTGCGGAAAAGTCGGAGAAACACAGAGACCGCGAGGATCAGAATGGGCTGTCCAATAAAGTTTTGATTATGCAACCGATATTAAGATTTCTGCAACTTCTTTGCGAAAATCACAACGCTTCTTTGCAAAATTTACTGCGAAATCAAAACAACAAGAGCAATTTTAATTTAGTAAGTGAAACTTTGCTGTTCTTGGACTGCATTTGTGGATCAACTACTGGTGGTTTAGGCCTTTTGGGACTTTATATTAACGAAAACAATGTATCACTGATTAACCAGACGTTAGAGACTTTAACTGAATATTGCCAAGGTCCATGTCACGATAATCAAAACTGCATTGCAACACACGAATCTAACGGCTTAGACATTATTATAGCTTTAATATTAAATGATATAAATCCATTGGGGAAAACGCGAATGGATTTGGTTTTGGAGCTTAAGAACAACGCTTCCAAATTACTCTTAGCCATAATGGAGAGCAGAGGAGACAGCGAAAACGCCGAAAGAATTCTTTCAAATATGATTCCCAAACAATTGGTCGATGTAGCTTGCAATGCTTTCCATCAGGAGGAAGAACGGGAAAATATGGACAATGCTGACGATGATATGGTGTCTCCTAGAGAAGTAGGACACAATATATGGATTTTATGCCACCAATTAGCTCAACACAATAAAGATTTAGCTTCGTTGCTCAAACCTTCCGAAACAGGTGATCCTAAAACCCAGAAGGCAGTGACCTACTATGCTCCTCATACTGCACAAATTGAAATCGTTAGACAAGATAGGACTTTGGAGCAAATCGTCTTTCCTATACCGGAAATCTGTGAATATTTGACTGAAGACACGAAGATAAGAGTACTGAACACCGCTGAGAGAGACGATCAGGGCTCAAAAGTGGCTGATTTCTTTGACAGAACTGAACATATGTTTAACGAAATGAAGTGGCAAAAGAAACTTAGGGGTAAGTTGTGTTTCAGCAATTCTGATCTTCAGTTCAGTAAACATCTCAAAGTTTGTTTAACGTCTTAAGACAGTTGTACCCTAACCCTGACCTGCTTTTCACATAACACAAACTTACAACTTTGTGAATTTCTCATTTATTTTCTAAACTCAGTTATTGTGATTCTATCTATAGTCCATTTTTACTGCAATCCGGTTCTGTGCGTTTATAAAAAAATTCACAATAGTTCTCTACACTTTGCCCAAAGTTTTATTCATACAAAAACCTAATTATCTAGTTAACAAATTAAATATACTTTTTCTAATATTAATGAATTACCTAGGTGGAATATAATGACATTAGTAGTACCTAATCATAACACGGCTCTTTTTAAAATATTCTTTTCGTATGTTGCTTGTAAAGACTTAAAATAAATAAATCCTACAATTTGCTTAACTTCAAGAAACGCCTAAAAGAATCTTTGTACAATAAGAAATAGTCATAAAAACATATTGTATATACAATGAATCTGTTTATAAGGTTTTGTTTTGAAAATTGTTTATTTTTTATAGTTTTACACTTATTCTGTAACTTGGTGAGAAAAGAGTATTTATTATTATTAAAATTTTTGACAAATGACACACTCGTTTAGTTTCAATTTCAAGGTTAAAATGTCATTCTGTAACTGACGTATCAACCCAAAGCATTAAATTTCACAGCCAACTCCAATTATGATTTTTCTCGATGCCTCGTTACAAATAATTAATTAATAACGTTTGTTTTAGCACAACCTGCATTGTTTTGGGTTAGTAACTACATGTCCTTATGGAGTAACATTCTGTTTAACTGTGCTGTACTTATTAACTTAATCGTGGCATGTTTTTATCCATTTGATAATATTGTCCCAAGTAAGTAGTAATCATTTAGATTTGTCTTATATATTATGATGGGTAACTTTATTTTTAGCTATTGGTCCCACAATATCTGTACTTATTTGGTTTGCGATGCTATCTTCATCAGCTATAGTGATTACTTTACCTAGAGAAACTGGGGTAAGAACCTTAGTAGCCTCAACAATTCTCAGACTGATTTACTCAATGGGACCTGAACCAACTCTGTGGTTGCTAGGGACTGTAACAATACTTCTGAAATGTATACACATAGTCAGTATTATGGGTAATCACGGTACGCTCACTAAAACCTATGCTCAAATTTTAACAGACGCTGAATTACTGTATCATATGTGTTACTTAATTTTCTGTACTTTGGGGATTATCATGCATCCTTTCTTCTATTCTGTCCTAGTAAGTATTAAAGGTTTACTAATATTGGGGTAGGTTTTACATTTTTTTTTTTAATTTCAGCTATTTGATGTTGTCTACAGAGAAGAAACCCTTTTAAATGTGATCCGGTCTGTTACTAGAAATGGTCGTTCTATTGTGTTAACAGCCGTTTTAGCGTTAATTTTAGTATACATGTTTTCAATTATTGGTTATATGTTCTTCAAAAACGATTTTATCGTAAGCGTTAATAAAAAAGGTTAGTTACCGTATTAAGTTTAAGCCGTGTAAGCCTGCTATTAGGCATTACAACGACCTGTCAAAATTATGCCCGTGTCTTTTACAGAGTCACTGATATATACAATTATATAGATTGCTCAAAGCGGGTAAATTTGCGAGCGGTGCTCATTAATCAGAATCGGTTTAGCAAAAATGTGTTTTAAAACCAATTTTTAGACTTTGAGTATAATTTAAAAATAATTACCTACATTTTTACTTCAATTTATTACATTTTAAAAAACATGGATAATCGATCTATATAACTATCTATATCATTGGCCCTATCAAATCACCAGGTCCGCAGGTTTGCCATATCATAACCTGCTATTACCCGTGGACAACCATTTTGTTTGGAATGCCTAATAGTTGCTGTTGGGAAGGGCTCGTATATTTAAGGGGGTTCCGACATAGTCTTCCATCGGGAACATTTTTATTAGAGATGGTAGTCGCCAAGCCTGTCAATTTATAAAAAATGTATAAGCGGTTTTTTAAATAATATTTTCATTGTGTTCGACATAAAATATTTAAATTTTATCAATTATTCATGATTTGACATATTCTAGATAAAATACATCGTATATACCAACCCTTCCCACCGACATTTATTTTGTTTGGAATTGCTAATTCTTTGACAGGTCTTTGGAATGCCCATTGTCAATTTAAATCATTTTTAGATGAATCTTGTGAGACATTATCCGAGATGACTGGGAAAACTTACAAGGAAGATGACACTGGACAATACTGTGAACTTGTGGACCCTGGAGAAGAGAGACAAGAAAGGGCATGTGATTCATTAAGGATGTGTATAATTACCACTCTGAATCAAGGTTTAAGGAATGGTGGTGGTATAGGTGATATATTAAGAGCTCCTAGTAGTGAAGTAAGTTTAAAATTTGTTAATTTGTTAATCGCTAAAATATTCTTTTCTTTTAGGAAACTTTGTTCGTTGCTAGAGTAGTTTATGACTTGCTGTTCTTCTTCGTAGTAATTATTATTGTACTTAACCTAATTTTTGGTGTTATCATTGACACATTCGCTGATTTGAGATCTGAAAAACAACAGAAAGAACTGATTTTGAAAAATACTTGTTTCATTTGTGGTAAGTAGTTTTTCTTGAAAAATTATTTATAAGATTGTCTGCATTGCCATTGGGGTATTCCACGAGATATATTATTGAAGGCATTCTTTCAAAATCAACACAAAAATGCTCGAATTGAGTTAACTGTGACAATTAGTTGCCAGGTGTTGTATATACCGGCATACATTTTCTACAAAAATAACACAGAAACAGATATATCTACTGTCAAATATAGAGCGTTTCTGCAATGTCTTATGAGACAGGTATAATGTTTTTTGTTTTTTGCTAAAAAAAAATTATTTTGGACACGTGTCGTTTTGTAAAAAGGTCTTCAATTATTGTCTAAAAATATTTATACAAAAGAGTTATAAAGTATAAATATCCTTTAAATATCAGAAATAGCAATGGGCCAAAGGAGCCCTGTGGGACCTTCGAGGAAGCATCAAATTCAAACAATTGGACACCAGGGTATTCTAAAATCAATTCTCTTTTAGTCAGTTATGTGATATACGAAATGACAGTAGAATACCATGGTCCAAGCGGAAAAAAAATCGTCTGTATAAATGACTCAGCCTGACCATCGTCAAGGCTTTAATATTCTCATCTTTTGTTTTCTATCAGGTTTGCACCGATCCGCTTTTGACAACAAAATCGTTAGTTTCGAGGATCACATAAAATGCGAACACAACATGTGGCACTATCTGTACTTCATAGTATTAATCAAAGTGAAGGATCCCACGGAATTTACGGGTCCAGAGAGTTACGTTCATGCCATGGTAAAAACCGCAAATCTAGAATGGTTTCCGCGCTTGCGGGCCATCAGTTTGGCCGCCGTAGAAGGAGAAGGGGAACAAATCGAGTTCAAGAGTCTCCAAGGTCAATTGCAGAAGACGGAAGTGTTGGTTACCACCTTGTCGCAACAGCTCATGGAGTTGAAGGACCAAATGGCCGAACAGCGCAAACAGAAACAGAGATTGGGACTTCTGAACAGGGATGCACCCAAACGGCTGTTGGCGGAATAGGTTAATCCATTTGCAAAAAAGGGTTTGGTACATCCCTACTTTTGACTTTTGCAGAATACGAATCTGAAGTAGATGCTAGTCTTTTAATAGTATCGGAGCACTTAAGACTGTTAATTGTTTATTAATAGTTTTGGTTTACAACGAATATCTCATCATTCCAAGTATAAATTTTTGTATACCAATAGTGTTCCTATACTTTTAAAAAAATTGAAGATCTTTCAATGCTCAAAATATCTTAGAATAAATAATATACTTTTTGTAGAGACCAAAATAATTGAATTTTTGAGCCGTTTTTGTTATTTTTGTTATTAATTTATAGGATCTGTTTATGTACGTAGAAATAGCAATTACCTCATTAATACTGAGACATGGAGCAACTCTGCCTCAAAATATTTTTTTGACCAAACTTGCTTAATTTTTACAAGGGAAGGTGTTAAAGTTGAAAATTATTAACAATAACTTTTATTACTTAATATTATTTTAATAACATTTTTCTTAAGTATTTTTGGTTCAATCATATATATTTTTGATCTAAGTATATTCAGTTATTTGCTCCATTTCCTATTTTAATGAGATATATACAAAGTGATCCATCCTGCTTTTATCATCCAGCGTTTTACTCTCATGTTTGTTTGCAAGATAAAATGAGGTGGACCTGTTTTCGATTATACAGGAACCTGACGTCAACTTACCTGTTAATTGAGACATCCTGTATATCTTAATATTTTTGTGACAATTGTTTCCCATTTCCTATTAATTGAAGATGATTTATCTAGTACATAGTTTTAAATGTCTGAGTGATAAATGTTTTTTTTCTTTTTACTATATTTATATGAGTGTCCTTATATTTACAATGTTTTCCTTGTTGGAGAGAAATATTTATACATATATGTATACTATCTTTCATACCGGATGTCTAAAAAGTTAAAGTTTTATACTCTTACAAGTTATGAAGTGCCATTTTTGAGAGATAAGTAATAAAAAGAGATGTGTTTATTTTTGCATTATAAAAATTTCGCTTGGCAAGCTGAATGATTCTTTAAATTTTTAAGACATCCTGTAGTAAAACTATACGCAATTGCAAACGAATCCACACTATATTCTTTGTTATATTAAAAATCTCATCTGATAGATCTGTTGATATGTAATGTTTTCTACGTCTGTAGTTAAAATAAATTTATTGAAAATAAATCAATTAAAACATTCTATTTGTTATTTTTAAACGTAAAAATATGAATTTTAACAAAATCCATTACCTAATTACTTCTGGATAAATAAACAGAATTATTTTTGAATTTTAGTTGACTTTCAAGGTTGAGGTAACTTTTCCTCCCGATTATTAAAAAATACGAGAATGTTTTGAAGATTTTTTTAATTTATTTTCCCTTGATCGAACAACAACAATGCTCCGAAGCTGTTACGAAAGCGTGATTCCTCGAGTCCCTAATTGGGGATTATATTTTCACATTTCCAAAAAATTCGATACGAGGACATTAAATTTTTACGTCCCGACCGCATTGAAACGTTGGCCAGGCCGTATAAACTGGCATCGCTGATATTATTCGTTTCCTGCTCTATCTAATGCTTACTCTCTGTAGTTTTCACACACACTTGTGCAACATCCTTCTTACAATATTGAGTCGACGGACTAAGAAAAGCATAGTCAGACCATCGATTGTTATAGAAGCAGAAAGTAGGGAGATATTCAAGAAAATGTACACTGGCAATCTAATGTTAATACAATTAACAAACTTTTGTAATCTTTGAAAACGAGAAAATTGGTGGAGGTGGTGGCAGTAATACCCATAGGGGTATTTTCTTGAATAGAACATATTCAGCAATTTCTTACTATGTAACAACTGAAAGATGACTCATTTGTAGATGATCAATACATCTGTTTTAGTTAAAAATTTAACAACTACATATAACTAATTTAAAAAAAAATAACTTATACAAATTCAACATGTCTGTCTCAGATAAATTATAAGATAAAAACCAACTATCTTTTGCAGAGCCTGCAAGAGTATATTCCTCTGGTAATATCTTTTAGTTAGAGCTTCTTTAATCTCGCATTTCTTTTTTTTATTTTGCAAAATATAATATTAGATTGTTTAGCCTCAAATATTTTTATTACATTACAAAAATAAAATGTTTGTTCATGGACATGGGACTGCCGAAAAATATAATATTAAAGTAAAATCATATGCACAGCTTTAGAAATAATTTAAAACCACTCACCTCTATTTCAAGATGCACTCGCAATTATAACTTTACTTCAAAGAATTTTCTTGTATATTTAAAATAAATAAAAGTTTCTTCTACATTTGTTACCTTCATTCAAAATACTAAAATGTAGGCTACCAGTTTAACATTTTAGAAAAATGTGTTGCCTAACCTAGTAGTAGTTTCATCAAAATGGGCGTGTCGGACGTCTCTCATCGTATAGTAATCAAAAGGTCTTTTCCTTTGCATCGAAAGTGTAGCACTGAGCTACAACACTTCTGAAAATATCGTTCCATTTATACAAATTGTATGGATGAAACGATATTTTCAGAAGTCACGTAACTCAATGCTATACTCTCGATGCAAAGGAAAAGACCTTATGTATGTGAGTAGGACAGATGTGGATAAACAAACGCTCGAGATGTAATAAATGTTTTTTCATTCAACCCTTCATTCCAGCTTTCAATTAAAAAACTAATGATTATGCTGTATGTGGATATTCAAACGTAACATATATAGATTAGATGACACTTGTTTAAAGTAATGATGACATGGGGTAATTGTCGTAGCCAACCAAACAGTTGTAAGACGAGGATAAAAGAAATAAAATAAGTTGTATGGAAAATTATTAGATTCAAAAGTCCCGTGCTTTTCCGCGCATGAGTAATGCAAAATTGTCGATTAACGGGAAAGATGGGATTGCATAAATTTTATTTTTATTTTAGACTGAAAACATATTAGAAATATTGAACCAGCTCATGGCACAAAAGATTTCGTATTTTGTGTGCTATATAAATAATAATTTTAGCTTCGCATCCATTATTGTGGGTCAGTCATACATTATATCTAAACCGCGTTATAGATAACTCCTAGGTAGCTGCTGCTATTTTACAATTATTACCTTGAATATATCCGTTGTGGCAAATCTTGAATTATTTTGTTTTCACCAGATACATAAAATTTAAAAAAATACAATTTAAAAGAACGAGTGGTATTTGAAAAGATTATTTTTTAAATCATTTTTTATAAAAAACACATACTTGTAGTATGTAATAATATAAAAGTGACTATTAAACATACTATAAATATTTCGTGGGCTTACTGCAAAAGCTGACCAAGTTAACATTTGTAAAATTAATATGACTAATGCTGCGTTTGAGAATCCACATCGGATGCATCTGAGATGTAAAAAATCTTTGATCACGTGATTCAGTATACGTAAATGTAATGGGTCAGATGTGGATAAAAAAACGCTCGAGATGTAAAAAATGCATCCGATGTGGATTCTCAAACGCAGCATAAGTCATTTTTGCTTCAAATTAAGAAGACTAACATAAATTGTGTAGGTTTATACAGTATTGAGAGATAAGTATGACTTGATCAATTTTTTTAATGAAACATCACTTTTATTAGTGACTTGGGTCATATTACTTCAAGTTTTAACATGGTCAGTTTTTGCAGTAAGCCCACGATTTGTTTATTTTATAGTATAGCCCTCAGAAAGGGGCTATGTTTCACAGCCATATAATTTCCCTTAATAGGTTAAAAAGAAATCGATATGGCAACAATGTGTTCTTCAGATTTCCGGGCATGCGCTAAACCGCGGCGTCATAAAGTTTGACATTTGTCAAATTTAAATTTTAAAATTGAAAAAGTTCCAACTTCTAACAGTGATAATGTTTGAACGATCAGTGAAACTTTTATTGAGATTTCTTGTGAAGGTAAGTTAGTAATTAAACAACCTTTTTATGGAATGTGAACTTTATTAAACAAGTAAATTACATTTGAACTTCTATTTCTTGTACAAATAAAACTACAAAAAACACTTATTATATCAGACATCACATACATAAATCGGTATAATCTTTTACTGTATGATTTGCTTTAATTGATTTGTTTCTAAATATTGTTAAGTACATATATTTATTTTTGGCTTAAAAGTCAATAAAACAGAAGGCTACTTTTATGTCATTCTGAAAAAATCCAGGTCTAATTCTTGCATGCTATTTAAGAATTCATCAGCCAAAATTCTTACAATAGAAGGAGATAAAATGGGCTTCGTAAATGCAATAAAAAGATTTGAAGAAGTTGCTGGAAGGTTTATAGATTAATTTTAAGACAACAAAGTAAATAGTATTATGTGATAATAAGAAAGATGCACCAGATCGTTGTTCTAACAGAAAATCATTATTTTATGGCTTTTATCTGTTTCACTATTTGGGGAAACCTATTCACAGACAGTGTGTAGCTAGATAGAGGAAGAAAGGAAGTAAGTAGGTATAATAACGTATAACACATGTCTATCACCAATTTCGTAATACATATGATAATCTCGAGTCACTGGAGATACAGATATTTAACAGACCCTAGACCAGTTGCCAATATCAGATGCTAAATAATAAAATAACGGTGCTAGGCAAGATGGTAACTGGACTGGGTAAATTTGTCTTTCTTTTGATATAATTTGATATAATAGACACACCTTGATAATAAATACAATATGGCCTAATAAAAAGAAAGAAAGAAGCTATTTTATACTGTGATTTTGTAGTTATACAACCAAATTGGCTGCCAGTCGGAAGGGCTCGTATATCTAAGAGGGTTGCGACATAGCCTTTAATCTTAGACGCTATTTTTATTGGAAATAGTAGTCGCCAAGCCTGCCATTTTATGAAAAATGTATAAGCGGTTGTTTTAAATATTTTCATTGTATTCGACATACAATACTTAAATTTAATTCATGATTTCACGTATTGTAAATAAAATACATCCTGGGACGTAATCAACATACCAAACCTTCCCACTGACAGTTCTTTTGTTTGGAATGCCTAATAGTTATATGAGTATGTTCCAGCAAATGGCTGTAATCAAAGCAAAGAGTTAGCTTTTTAGAATTACACAGTTTTAGCCCCTTTGCTACATATTGAATGTATGTTAATGTTATCAGTACCTATACAGATGACACTAATATAAAAAAAAACTCCGAACAGACATTATCAATGGAAAATAATGAAATAAAAATATCTTAGAATGGTTCTTTGACACATCCTAGTTTTAATTCAAAAATAGTAGTTCATGTTATAAGGACGAAAAGTTGAGTTTTTCGGGTAACTTATAAGAGTCCGAAAATACACCTTTCGTATGTGTTTCATACATTATTTTTTATTCGAATGTGCTTATAGATATTAAAAAAAATATAGAAAATTAAATACGTATTTGTTTATCAATTTTTCTTATAACTGAGATGGCTGTGATTGATAAGAATATCTTTGATAACAATTGCACAATTAGGCATTCCAACGACCTGTCCAAATGGCTACCAGTGGGTAATGACAGTTTAGATATGGCAACCCTGTTGTCATGTTGTCATTAACAGGGTCAATGATACATATATAGTTATATAGATTGCTCAAAGCTGGTCGTTTACGAGCGGCCATATTGCCTGGAAAATATTTATTAATTTGAATCGGTTTAGCAAAAATGTGTTTTAAAACCAATTTTTAGCCTTTAGATATTAAAAAAAAATAATTGCTTATATTTTAACTTCAAGGCATAAGCTTATGTTTATTTTGAAAAATATGGATGATCAATCTATGTAACTATCTATTTCATTGACCTTGTCAAATCACCAGGCCTACAGGGTTGCCATAATTTTGCCATATCATAACCCGTCAGAACCCACTGGTAGACATTCAGTTTGGAATGCCTAATAGTTACTGTCATGTCAGTGGTCAGTGTGCTTATGTCAAATCGATTCAGTGGCGCATCCAGAGTTTAAGTCTGGGGGGAGGTAGTGGTAATATTTAAGACTTTATTTTTGATAATGATACATTTTAATCTATAAAAAGTTGGGTTTGAAAATTCTTAAAGGGATAATCGATTTAATTATAGTTTATTTAGTTTCCTCTTATTCGATTAAAAAGGTTTCTATATATTTAAATTTGATAGTAGAAAAAAATTATCGCCAGCAATATTAAAAGGTAAACTGAAAATAAAATAGAATGTTTAGATAGCGAAGCTGCTTTACTTTTGCGGCCTGGGCCGTTGATGGGGTATTTTTCAGCAGTTACATTTTGTAGTACATTTAAAAGTCCTCCTTTTATATTATCTTTTCTGTACGAAAAACGACGTTTTATGATATATTCGAATAAAAAATATTAGATTGTCACTCAAACAAGGTTTTTAAGCTTGTTTCGTTTTCGTGTAGCCATACTGTATGGTATCAGTCATTATTATTGACATAAAGTTATATCTACGCACTTACTTTGACACAAATTTAACCTATACATAAAGTTGCCTCTCACAATAGGGCTATTTTAAATAATTTGTCCGCTATTTTGGAACACATTAAGTAACCCTTGAAATAAATTACATTTATCACAGTCAACATCATCAGGAATTAATAGGGGACCATCAAGATATATAAATATTTAAAATGCTCATATGGTATTACTTTCCGCAGATATGTAGGATATATTTACACAGCGGTACTAAAAAGTTTTTCTCATTTGACCGAAGTACTTCTAGTCACATTACTTCGTGTTGAAGATCCTCTCGTTGAAACATAGCGCAGACTGTAGGTACTTGTACGATCTTGTCCTCGCCTATCAGCCTTTAAACATATGGCCTGTACGAAACTCTCTCTGAAGCTCTTTGACATAAATCCGTAGATGATGGGGTTAATGCAACTGAAAGAATGAAATCTTCAGTTAGACATAATACAAGTAGATTTTTTTTATATAAAACAAACAGTTATAAGACTAAATAAAACACATTGTTCCAATAAATAACAGTAATTTAAAATGTTTCAATAGTGTAACCGATTAAAGACCATTATAAAGATTGGGGACACGGATGACTTATATACATAATTGTCTCTACGCTACTTTAATTTACTGCATTTATTTGGTTTTAATATTAAAAGATATTAAGTCTACTTATAGTAAAAAATTGTATGTCCTAAACCCCTGGTGTTACATCAAAAAATTACCCTGGATGAAAGATATATAGTTTACTTTTATATATAAAAAAACTAAGAGGCGTAACAGATTCCAATTAGTGGCTATAAGAAGAACCCCATAGAGTGTACTTGCTTTAAAAAAAAATTGTCCTATACCTCTAGCGTCATATCAAAAAACTGCCCTATATGATATAGTTTATTATTTATTATAGAATTTGAAAACAAATTTTTGATTTATTAAATAATTGCTAAAATTGTGTATTAACATATTTTATTCCTTAATTTTTAAGTTAGAAAATGTCAAAAATCAAAACTGACAAATAATTGCCCCCTAATAACAATAATAGCAATGTCGCTAAGCAATACATTACGGTATGATACCAGTCGCGCATATACGGGGGTATTGGGGGGAAACCACTCCCTCAAGAATTTTTAAACCTACCTTTTTAGGTACTAAAAATGACTTATTGTCAAAATTAAAGTTTTAAATATTACCATTATATACCCCCTTTCACTGTTTGATACTGTAATGTTCGATTTACCTCAAATCTGTACAGGGTAAGTAGATTTACTAGACATCATAAAATAAATGATATTTATAGGTTTTAAACATTTACCTGTTAAAATAGGCCATAAGTGAAAAAGCATTAGACATGTACTTCAGAGTTCCAAATTTCATATAGGGTAGTATTCCGTATGCAGTAAGTACATTATCTACCAACATCGGTGTCCAGCATACAGCAAATAGAACTACAACGGTCACTAACATGCAGATAACTTGCTTCACCACATTTGTGTCATCTCTGTAACCATTTCTCGACTTGTACTTTTTACTATCATTCAAGGAGTAGGTTCTTATTCGTTTTTCGTTTTGAGGCTGAAATTTATTATGGTTTCGGGACAATCTAAACAAAACATTGCAATGTTTCATTCATTTTAATGATAATGTTTTAGTGTATTTAGTTTTAAGTAATGAAAGGGTTACTTGTATCCAATATTTGTCAGAAAATATATTTTAACTTAAATTATAGAGAAAATTATATGTCAATAAATTTTCTCAAGAAATGTTAAAAAATAATGAACTTCAAAGGATTTTTATTATTTTACTTTTACTAAGGTAATTCCTTTATTTAATTTAAGGAATTACCTTGAGTAATTTCTAACTTTTAGAATTTCTTAAACAGAAAAAATGGAAAGATGTAAATAAATGATGGGGTGGAACGGGGTGCAGAGGTGAAACTAATATTAGCTAGTATTAAAATATGAAAGTTGAAATGCCCTGTACACACTGAATATTGGAAAGAAAGTCAGTCCTAAGTAAACCATGGTTTGGTAGGCTTTACCTCAAATTAGAAACTGTGTTAGTAAAAGGATATTTTCTGTTTATTTTAAAAATTATTATAAATATACGTTAATTTAAACTTAAATTCTATTCATAAATTGTTTAAAATAAAAAGTCTTATCGATTCTGAAAATTTAAATATATAATAAACATTATTAGTTTTTTATTTACAAAAAATACAAATACTCGCTTGCCTGAGAATTACAGGGACCATCAGATCATGCGTCACTGCAGCCTTAGAGGTAATAACGGCCTTTTGCCTTTACATATATTTTATTATTCTTTTGGTTTGTAAATAATGATAATAAAAAAGAGATACATACAACAATAAAACAAACTAGTAATAATAATATTCCGAATTAGATATATTTGTATAAACAACTGTTACTTACACTTGTTCGCTGGTCATAGCAGACCTTCTTTCCATCACTTTCCAAATTTCCCAGCAAATCAGTCCGTAGGACATAGCCATAATGCAAAATGGTCCGACAAATATTAAAATAAACATGTATAGTTCGTGAAATTTATGAATTGCTGTGTTATCATCCCATCCCCTTACACAGTAATTTGATTCGTTCAATTGGCCCACTGGCAAATGCAACTGAAAAGAAAAATTAAACATGCAATTAAGACAAATGTTTGATTTAGTATGAGATTCCGCTGTATATGGCTTTAATAAACTTTAAAAACGCCTTCGACTGCGTGCTACACTGGACGGTAAAGCATTTTCTATATAACTGCAAAAACGAGTATAAGTTGTGTATAAAGCCTTGTTTAGAGTAGGAGCGTCGCGCGAAGCGACGCGATAGCGTTGCGTCAAGCGGCGCGTCGTTAATAAAACAACCTAGTGTTACCAAATGCAAAAGTTCATAGTGAGAGCGACCAGCTATGCGATATATGAAATATAAATCGCGTCGCTTTACGCAACGCTATCGCATCGCGACGCTCGTTGCACCTACTACGAACAAGGCTTAACAAATTTTTTTTGAAACGAGCATTGGGAATTTTATAAAGTTCTTATGTCCGTATTTGCACTCTATGTGTGGAAGCTGCACTGCTAATAAAATCACGAACATGTTTCGATATAACTTCAAAATAAACTCGTTACAAATAGATGATAAATATGAAAAATTACCGCGTCTTCGATTTCCACATTGTTTATATGATGTTCATTGTTCAAAAATTGATCAAATTGTGCTATTAATCCCAAAAGTCTTAAATAATTTCCGATGTAATTTCTTCAAAATTTTTCTGTTGTGTCCCATGCATTAAATATCGCATACCGTTGACCAAATAGTATTTTCTCAATTTTTCTTCCCTTTTACTATCTTTTTTTCATTGATTCAAATGCCCCCAAATCTTGGGCCCCTAAGCTATAACCTACTTACCCTATTGGTCAATCCGGCCCTGACCAAACTAAACCAGAGAAAAAAGCATTTTAGAGTTTTTTATCTAGTTGCCTATGAAGAGATTTATTTTTTAAAAGATGGCTTCTAATTGTGACATTTAATTAAGAATTATTCTGGTTTATATTATTTTGAGTTAGAAAAATGAAAAATCTGTGGTGCTACACTAATTTGATATATAAGGTGAGATTTTTATTATTTAAAATAAATTAAATTACTTAACATTTACTGAAATATCCAATAATGTGGTAAGATTTGCCTTTTCGTTCGAGAAGGTACTTATGTTTGACTTTACAGGCACGAATGTCAAAATATTTTTTTATAGATTAGATAATAGTAGTTTAATATTATGCAAATAAATATAAAATTGCGGATTATCCACGTTAATACGGGATATTTAATGATAAAATCTCAAAAATTGCACATTTTTAAACAAATGTTTAGACGTTTAGACGTAGCTGTCTGTACACGGTTGCCAAGTGCTTTAAAATTTAAGAAGCAGTGTGTAGACAGAAATTTTTTATGAGAGGGGTTTCTGAGAACTATGGGGGGTTTCCATCAACAGTAAAATTTTTCAGACTAGATTGTTTTTATTAAAAAAGTGAAAACAAATAATTTTTTATAAAACGATAAAAAAGTGAATAAAAACAAATAGTGAATTACTATATTTATTTAAATAAAACTAATATAATTTTTTTTTGATAATTCTTTATTTTGATTACCTAAAATACCATAATCTACAGGGTATCTCAAAAAGTTCTATACAAATGGAAAAAAGTTTATCTTGCATTTCACAAAAAAAATACTCTTGAGAAAAGTATCACTTGAAAATCCATAATCAAGCATCAAATTTTCTTAAAACATAGGTGATATACAGGAAAAATAAAAAATACTGATTTATAATAAAGAATAAAATACTTTTAAATTTCAATACCTTAGTGCAAAATATTAAGTGTTGATAGTAATTAAAAAATAAGCTATGATATATATTTTTTTATGTTGATTAGTTAAAATAACATACAGGGTATCTCAAAAAGTTGTAAGCAGATGGGAAAAGTTTTTTACATTTCATAAAAAAAAATAAATGTATTGTATCACTTGAAAATCCATAATCAAGCATCAAATTTTGTAAAATATGGGTGATATACAGGGAAAATTAAATAAAAATATAATTTATAATGAATAGTAAAATATTTTTAATTTTAGTACCTTTTGAGCAAAATATTCAGTGTTCTTAGAAATAATGAAAAATTTGATATTTCTAAAAATATAAAAATTAATATAAATAAAAAATTCCTTGGTTTATTCGGTCATTAATTTTATTTTCTATCGTTAGCACAGCACTACATATGTTTCGGAAAACTTTGTTTCCATCTTCGGGTGCAGTAAAAATTAAAAAAAAAAATTAAAAACGCATGGGGACGATTACAAACAGTTTAAAAAATTTTAAAATAACAAAAACCCCATCTTTATGTTTCAGCGTGTGAAGGTGTATTCGAATACATCTTCACACGCTGAAACTTTTTGCGTTTTTCATTGTAAATTGATTTTTAAAACAATTTAAATCGTTTATTTTAAGTTCATTTGAATTAGATTCAAAATATTTTTGAATAACTTTGCTGGGTTTTTCACAAATATCATCAGAGGTCTTTCGTTTAGCAGATGCACTCACTATATGTCTTTAAATAATATTTTCTTCTATTGCTGGATTGCGGTTATTACACGACCATCAGAATCACTGATTGTTCGAAGGAAGGCTTTACATTTTCTATCCACACATACCTACTTAATTTCTCCAGATGCTAACTTTTTTCTGGTTTGATTAAATTTGTACTGTTCTATAATTAATAATATTTTTCCACGTTGACTTGTTACTTCGCGAATCGACATGTTTATTGAGCTGCTCTTACCACTTATAATTACGAAATAAAACTAACTAATTCATAAATATCAGATCCGAAAGAAAAACTTTCCGGATTTCTAGTAAGTACAAGGATTTTTTTAATAATGCCTGTTCCTTAGAATTTTATATTAAATCTTTTAACAGTTCCTAGATAAGATTGGATGTTAATTAGGGCAGGAATATTTTTCAATCAAGCACGAGTTAGGTATACGGATTATAGAGACTTTTACTCTTTTATCTTTTAAAGGATTAATGAGCACGAGTTGGGATGCGCCCCTTCATTAAATATTGTCCCATTTTGACATTTTGAAAATTTCCTTTTACTAATTGTTGTTTTTCTTTTCAGCGAATTTCCGTAAAAAAAAATTATATCGCCGACAATTTTTCGAGTTAATCGGTAGCACGATATGAATGGTCTGAGTTCATGTTCATTTCACCTCTGACAATAAAGACGTTTGATCTTAGAATGTATGTCCTCTGATGTCAATGTATTATCTGAAGATATACCTTCCAGGATCAAATGGACAAGGCTGCATATATACTGCCCAGCGATATATTAACGTATCAAAGGGTTGATATAGAATTGAACATGATACGATGATCACTAATGTCGTCGGAAATAGAAGATTTTCCGGACGCGTTTTAATCGGGAAAACCTACTGGAAATAGTGGATATTATGAAGAAGCGGAAAGAAAATGGGATAGAGAGTGAAGGTGGAATGAGAGGCTTTAAATGGTGAGTGTTTTTATTTAAATTTAATGTTTTTTGTAAACAAATTAGTACACCATATAATATTTCCAATTATAAAAAACCAAATATAATTAAAAACAATAAAGGACGAAGTTTATTTTTGATTTTGTTCTGTATACAATCAAAAATATGTTTTCTCTTAACACTTGATTTTTCTGAATTAATGATTAATTTTAATATTCATTGAAATTTTTTATTATATTGTTTTAGGAGGAATGAGCTGCTTGAAATGGTGAGTCTTTTGATTTAAATTTAACTTTTTCTGTACATATATTTTTTTAATTATTTAATCAATTTTTATTTCTATTGAAGTTTTTTATGTCGTTTTAACACTATTGAAATAGGAATCTTAATATTAATTAATAATTAAAATTGTTTATATTAAATAAAGAGGAATTGGCGACTTCAAATGGTGGGTCTTTTGATTTAAATTAAGTTTTTTTGTGAATAAATTATTATTACAACATAGCTATGTTAATAATTTTCTGATTTTGTGATTCATTTTTATTTCTCTTAAAAAATTCCTAATTTTTTTATTCATGTAGTTTTAACAAAAAGCGTTTCACTTCAAACGGGACTAAAAAATAAAAAAATTGAAAAATACAATAATTTTAAAAATTCAAAAAGTTTAAAAAATTATCAAATTATTAAACAAAAAGCACATTTTTTAGTCATTGTGTTTTTTTAGAAAAGTTTATTTTTTATATCTATATAAGGACTTCTATACAAAAAAAGAAGCATCAATTTTGGAATCACTCTGTATAGATAGGTCAATGCTGCTCACTTTCTAAAAACATTGTTAGTTATCCAGAGTATTTAAAAAAACTTTAGTATTTCAAATTTTCATTGTTTCCATCTAAACATCATGTATTTTATTGGATTAAAATTCTATAACTAATAGAAACTTTATTAAAGGTTCTCCATATTTAACTATTATAGTTTTTTTATTGTCATTATCTGCTACGATAAGATTTTGAAAAATTGTGTAGATAAATTAATTGCTTGATAATTGATGAATGTATTTAATGTTCATGAATATGTAAAACAATGAATACAATAGTTTAAAAATAAGCTACTATTTATAAAACAAATATTTTATACATAATATGGTTGCAAAAAATGTAATAAGATACCGAGTGAGATATTGTTCTGGACCATTCTCATCTATTTGATTAAATTTGGTTTTGGTACATTAAATTGAAAATAAATTCAGATTTTTGATTTATAAATTCAAAATGACTGAATCCCGCTTCAATTCAAAATTACCACCTATTGATTTTGTTAAAAAAAACACCGCCAAAATTTTTATACAGTGCGCTCATAAAGTGTGGACATTATTTTAATAATTATTTTCGATGGTAAATCCTCAGATTTTTATTTTAGTTTTAGATGATTTACTCTACTTATTTTAACTTTTAACTTAACTTTTTTTAAATTAATTTTACTTCCTTGCAATATATGACATCATCGATAATTTTTTAAATTAAAAGATTACCTATATTTTAATACAAAAATATAAAAACCCATATTTTCCTAAGTTCAACCAAACTACATACGTCATATTTATATTATGTAACACTTAAGTTACACTGTATTGCAATAGTGGCGCTATAGAGCTACACCCCTCAGTACGAGCGAAAACCAACTTATATAAATATAAAATAAAATACGTTATTTACAATACTGTTTTTAATAAAAAAATATATAGTCCACGTCTATTTATAACTTTCATAGGGATTCTGTTTTACTTTTTCCAATCATAATCTGGCGTTTAATATATTTGGCGTTAGCCGATGTTGCTGGCTGGCAGAGCTAAAAGTTGTATCGCCCTCAATTTACATATTCGTGCTGTTAGATCTGGTATTATCGCTTGCGCTCGTATGTCTCAGATACGGAATTTTATATGCAAGAGGGCTTCGAAAATTTTCTCCTTGCTCCTGTCTAGATAGTATGCAAAGTGTAACAGTAAGTATGTTTATTGAGTTATCCGAGATGGCTGTTTGTTTATCATCATTGTTTTATAAGTGACAGTCGTGATTTGTTGTGTATTTTTGAACAATATAAAGTTATTTGAACGACCATGTATATTCAACAGTTTTCTCGTCATATTTCGTTGTTAAATTTATTAGCTTGTTGGTAAAAATATTGTTTTAAAAACATGTTTACCATTTGTTATATAGTAAAGTGTGGAATCAGTGGAGATTGCGATGTTGTTAAATTTTTTAAGTTATGTGCTTACCTACCTATGTAGTTAACTGCATTTTGTGCATACAAAAAACAAACAAATGTCATAAATGACTTATTTCATTAAATATTCTTTGGAAATCAGACAAATGGGGCCTTAAAAGCGAAAACAATGCAGAGAGGGACTTAAAGGATTTAATCAATACCAGACTGGTAGAAAATGGCTCGCATTACATTATTATTTATTATTTACGGAATAAATTATTTAATTTTTTATAATTTTCTAGGTAGTTAACTTACAATTAAATATTTCTGCTAAACTAATTTTTATTAAGGAAAAACTACGAATTTTTATAACAAGTGGTCGTTTCATTTATTTCACTCTGAAACACCACGTATAATAGATGTTAATAATTGTATGAAAGATTTCTCTTTTTTTGTTTTGTTAACGCATTTGGCCACACCGTTGGATACAATTCAAGTGGTAGAGCAGGGACAGAAGTTGGAAAGGCTTTTCATAGACCGGTGTGAACTTATTTTCCTACTAATTTTCCAAAAATATTTATGGGCTAGAATAATCAGTCACTTTTGCTTTTATTAAGCCAAGGAGCTGAAAATCATTAAACTTACCTGGGCTTTTATTGTTGGTGCACCCAATATTACTGCCAATATCCATATCACTAAAATAATCCTCTTAGCTTGGCTTATCGTGCAAATGTATTTTGCTTTCATCGGATGTACGATTGCATAATATCTAAAAAGAAGTTTAAAAAAATATGTATTGGGAACGTGTATATCTGCTCAATTCGCATAATATGCATCGAATGTTAGTAACGATAACCTTATAATTTATTTTTTTGCAATGAAATATCTATAGAACAGTAGAATTTGCTTAAAAATGTTTAAACAATAAATTATGCTTTCTACAAAGTTTTTGAAAATAGCTCGAGAACCCGATAACCAAAGTTCAATTATTATCTATGTATTTTTTTTATAAATTAGTATTATTTGGTAATGTTAGTTAAAAAAGAACCTCGGAATTTTAAAAGGAAATAATTAAATTTTTTTAGATCCAGGTTTCTAATTCAAAACATGTTTGTGTGACTATATCCATGGACTGAATAAGCTTCCTCTATCTGAAATGTACGACTACAGTAATTGTGCATATTTATTGGGCAAAAGTTTACTATACCTAAAAAAAAGTTGACAGAAAAAAGGTTTACAGAAAAAACGAAAAATGAATTAGAATATTGCCAATATTGCCATTTTTCTGTTGAAATCTCCCTCTTGAAAATTTAATCTCGAAATTCTATTTTTTTTTTAATTTTTATGTTAGTTTTACAACCTAATATTTAATTTTGGAACCCAGCTTCTACAATCCAATTTTTCAACCTAGGTTTACAACCAGCATATAGAAAATAATATGTCCTAAAAATGTCAATGAAATAAATGTTTACGAAAAAATGGTGATGAAAAAAAGTTGACGAGAAAAATGCATCAATCTAATTTCTAATTCAATTTTTCAACTTAGTTTTACAAGCAACATATCTAAAATAGTATCATAAAAATGTCAATGAAATATTTTTTTACTAAAAAATGGTGATGAAAATATGGTGACGAAAAAAAGTTGACGAAAAAATGCAACAACCTAGTTTTACAACCTAATTTTACGAACCAGCTTCTATAATCCAATTTTTCAACCTAGTTTTACTACCAACATATATAAAATAATGTCATAAAAATGTCAATGAAATATTTTTTTACGAAAAAATGGTGATGAAAATATGGTGATGAAAAAAATTGACGAAAAAATGTAACAACCTAGTTTTACAACCTAATTTTATAACCCAGCTTCTACAATTCAATTTTTCAACCTAGTTTTACTACCAACATATATAAAATAATGTCATAAAAATGTCAATGAAATAAATGATTATACGAAAAAATGGTGATGAAAAAAAATTGACGAAAAAATTCAACAACCTAATTTTATAACCCAGCTTCAACAATCCAATTTTTCAACCTAGTTTTATAACCAACATATATAAAATAATGTCATAAAAATGTCAATGAAATAAATGTTTACGAAAAAAGTTGACGAAAAATGTTGATGAAAAAAAAAAATTAATTTGGTTAATGCCATTATTGCCATGTTTCCTCATGCCACACTTTATCCTGCGCTACATCAAGGAAGATGTTAGCGCAAACTTTTTTTCTAAAGATTTTTTAATTATTATATCATCCGTTATTCTGTGGATTTGGTCTGTAGTCCCGTGGCTTTCTCTAAAACCGAACTCAAGCGATGGAATTAAATATTTTTCTTCTATAATGGATTTCAGCCTTTTTAATAGTAGTTTCGAAATAAATAGGAGTAGAGACTCCATTTGGTGGTTTACCAGGTTTGGGGATCATGGTCACCACATCAATCTTCCATAACATGGGTTCATACTTTAGTCTAAATGACGCTTTGATGAGATAAGTCAACTTTAATAGTGCTTTTATTGTTTTAAAATTTGCCCGGTAATAAATCAAACCCAGGGGCTTTGCTTGGGTTGATGTTTTCTTTTATTTTATTGATAACTTCTCTTAGATCATATTTTCCCAATCGAGAGTTCTTTCGTCTTTATTCTGTCTGAATGTTTTTTAAAGGTATTCAGCATATCTATTATCCTTTTAAAATTACTTTTTGTCCAGGAATACAGATTCCTTATTGGCGGATTTTGCAAGATCGGTCGTTTTAATGGTGGTCCAGAGCGAATAGTCAGTATTTCTGTCACTAATATAGTCATTCTTACATTTCTAAATATATTTTTTAAGCTGTTAGGTAGCGGTTTTCAATCTAGTTGATGCTCTAGATTGGTGCCAAATCCTTCGGAAATTTCTTTTTTTACATATGTCATACCGACTTAACCAGACGATTTTGGATGTATAAGTAAATTGGGTTAATTCATCTTATTTTTATCTTAGGAGCCTCTAGTTATGTTATGTCTCAACCTATTGGAGACACCCTGTAAAAAATATTGCATAGTATTTTTTTAAGGTTTAGAGGCTGAAGATACGTGTAACGTGTAAATCACTTTCAAAATCTAATAAATTGTCTACTTACCTTTCTATACTTATTGCTGTCAGAGTTAACACCGAACATATAGCTGACACGTACTGCATATAATGGATGGTTTTACACACTACTTCTCCCATTTCCCACGTATATGAAAATAGTTTAGCTACCTGTAATCAAAATAAATTTGCGATCATAATTTGAAAAAAATTAACGACCTGCTTTAAGCCATTTCACACATTTTTGAAATATTCTCAATTGCATGAAATTAATCAACAAAAAAACAATTAATGATCTTTAAATACAACTCTGGATAAAATCTGATTTTAACCGATAATAAACAACATAATAATCTTGAACTGAATATATGGGATTAGTTTTTGAAAATTTATGCTACAGGTTTAATAATAATTCCACAATAGGTTTTAGAATATCATTTTTTAGTTTAATCGTTAAACATATTACTTGTTTAAATTTAAATGCAAATCGCATTTTCTAAACTGGTCACTAAGACTCTAAATCATTGTTATATTCATTTTGTAACTTTAACAAGTTTACCGAAACAGTACAATTATGTATCGTCCGAATACATATACATTTTTGAAAAATTTAAACAAGTAGGAAAATTGCTAGTGTAAATGCTAATCAACATGGGCCCTAGAATTGAACCTTGAGGCGTGCCCTTTATATGTAACTACTTGACGTCTGCGATTGTAGCGATTGTATTGAAATAACTTTCAAACAGTTCTATGGCTGACATTATTTTTGACATATCGAGGAAAATCTATCTGCCAAATTAGAAATTTTTATACCAAATAAATACAAATTCATAAGAAATTCATGAAAAACCCTGTATTTAAACAATGATATATTCTAGACTCATTAATAATAGGCGTCTTACACCTATATTTAACATATGTACATTTCACAGTGAAACACTTGTAGACCCAATAACTGTTAACAATGTAATAAACATTTATACGAGTTTTTTAAATAAAAAAACTAGTTCAAAAGATTTACTTTTAGAATCAGTCGATGAAAAGTCTGAAATATTTCGATGATTGATTCAATTATCCTTAAATCTGTGAAAAGTGCACTGCGTTTTGAGATTTGAATGTTTTATGGCTACAGCATAAATCACCAACCTCGTCGAACAGTGATAAATCTTCAATGTTTGCGAATAAAAACATTACTAAATAATGTGTTTAAATTACGAGTGTGGTTTTGATACATTAACCAAACCAAATCTAAATTGTATTTCTAATCTGTACCGTTAGGAACGTCATAACCAAAATAATATTGAACAGGCTAAAAAATTAAGGAAAGATCAACATTTATTTTAAAGAACATAACACAAATAAACGGAAGAGTAGATGATCATATTATTTACAAATTTCGAAGAAGCCTCCATCACCATAAACGGTGGGTATACAGGTTAGGAAAAAAGTATACGAACCATACGGTTTAGTAACGCACATCTCTATTAATTGTAGATATTCGTAACATGTCGGAGAGCATCGTACTCCAATCGGTGAAAATGTACAGATAATATTAGATTAGATTTGAAAGGAGTTGGACAGTATTTGTCCTTGTTCACCGGTTTTTTAGAGTATGTCGTCTAGCTTAGTCTTTTTTATTAAACTTAGTAGCTTTAACAGTGGCTCCCGCATGTAGCTCCATGCGTTTGGATTTTCTTCGCCCAATGTTAGAAACCTCAATCTGCTTCTTCTGCTAGATTGATGACACTTATGTGCCTTCTAAGCGGCAGTGTCCAGTACTTAGCTTTGCAGGTTTTCTAGGCAGTCTTTCACCAGTCATGATTTGATTTCTGGTGATAGACTTACCTTTAGAGCTTCTTGGCTATCATAGTAGATGGCAACAGTTTTACCTCACACAGGTAAGCCAGTTTAGGGGCTCATAAAATTTTTAAAATGCCGCTCTTAGATTACACTAAAGAGGAAAAGATACATATTTTAAAATGGTATTTTGTGGTTAATTCCGTGGACGAGGTAATACATTTATTTATTGGGTCGTATGAAAATCGGCCAATTCCGCAATTCATTGACAATTAAAAGAATACTTATTAAAAAAGTGCCATAATGGCTAATACATTATCTACATAATAGTTAGTTGAAGAATTATAAATTATTTGGCACTTGCAAATAATAATTCTTAGATCTATAATCAGGGTAATATACTTAAATATTGTCTTCATTTTTAATTAGAGGGGCCATTCCACAGCTGTTAATGTATTGCTAAACTTTATCTTGCTTGAAGGTGGTAGTTATGTAGTCGTTATACACAAAGTATAGAGATGGCCATACACTCGAAGTGCCTATACCATATGGCTCGTATACTTTTTTCCTAACCTGTATGTGGAAAAATTATTTCACTTTATGAAATACCTAAATAGTATACTTAATTGCGTTTCACCTGAAAGGTGTAATAATATTTTCAGATAAGAGATTTAAAATGAGTAAGTAGGATTCACATTAAACTGTTCATATAAAATGTGTTTATATAATTAATATTAAGCGAGCGTTTTTAAAATGTCATTCAAGAGCGACAAAGCTGTCACTTAATGTCAGTCCCCCGAAAACGTCAATTTTGAAGTGATATTTCGTAATGCAGAATTCTACTTTGGATAGTTATCGTAAAAATGCATTTTACGAATTTCGAACGCGTTAACGAAAGTTGTAAAAAATATTTTTACGTGAAGGATATACCGCTTGCAAAGTTGTAAAAACAAGATCATAAAATATGCATCAAAATATTTTAGGCGAATATACATGAGTTTCATTAAATCGTGTACAAAACGTCGATTGCACTTTAGTATTTGGCAGAAAGTTATATTTAGAAAATAACTTAAGAGGAACATGCATGGAAGATTGTTATATTCGAATTTTAAATACCAACGGCTTTTAGCATGCACATTACTTATTATATTATTTTTTTATAAATATTACATTGGTGGAGAAGAGCTGTTTCCAACAAGACCAAGTTTGCAAGATTCGGTTAAGCGGAACAGGACTTCAAGCGTTTATTCAAATCACGGTTCCCACTTCTCCTCATCTCTTATAAGACAAAATAAAAGGAAATTCGATAGGCAGAAATATTTGGAATTTTCTGGAAATTTCAACTATTATATTTTTTCAAAACCCTAACTTGGGTAAATTTTGTTTACTATAAGTAAAATTGTGAAGATTTGTGTTTACATTTCCTAATAAATCTTCAAAGTCTTGATGCAATTGATTGGTCATCACTACTTGTTTTAACTAAGTATAGGTAGCTCGAGGTTAACTTGATGTAGTCCTATTTAGGTACCTACCTTACCTTTTTATTATTTACCCATATCATGCATACGAGTATGTTTCATCAATACATTTTCTTCTTTCTTTTACATTGAGGTAGTGTTGGTATTTTTAAACAGATTCTACAGTGGAACAATGCCTCTTAAATCTTTTTAATAAAGCTCAAATTCATTAAATTCAAAGGTTGAAAATGATTATAATAAACAACAAATCAGTAATGTAAGTTAGTTGATTCAGGATGTAATGGATTATAAATAAAATCAAACGAAAGAAACCGAAAAAGCAATTTATTAAATAACGTTGTGACAAGAAAACTAATGTGCGTGGCCTGTTTTTCAACGTTTGCTTGTTCGTGCAAACTCATTTCTCTTAGCCAAATCGAATAAGATACATGGGCGAACCAAAAACAATTGTAGAGAGAAAAATTGTATAAAAACATTGTTCATTTCGTTAATTGACTGCAATTATATTGTAACGATAGTTTAAATTATTTAGAATTTATTTATTTAAAACACACTATTTACAATTTATTTATGACGTACTAATTAATTTATATAATCTTAGACACTAACTAACAATTCTAATTTATTTATTACAATTTAACTTTTCTGTCCAACACTTTAATCTTAACTAACTTCCGTCTTCAAACTCGCGATATTTATATCAAGCCAACTCTATAACCAGAATAATCTAGACAGTGTGGAATGTCCTAGACTTCCATCTCTATGACTAAACGTCACGTACCTACCGCTTGTTCTGGTATATTCGAGAAGCATCTGATTGTCTCTATATTGCCAGTGCACCGCTAGACTCCATACCGCGGGAGTAAACAAAGAACAGGATAGGCTTTCGCGCGACAATATTGTTCACTAAAAAACGTCGTCTCTTGTATCAAAATTTGACGTACTTATTTTAAAATATGTAGTACCTATACGGAGACTTGTATTATGCCATAATAATAAGATAACATACAGATTTTTCCCACCAATCTTCTTTTTTTTTTTTTTTCAAAGCGATATTTTGTCATTGACAAATTTGTGAATGAAATTTCAACTAGCCCAACTAAAATTTAAACTGAACTACACATTTTCGTAGTGTATTTCAGGTTATTATTTATTTTTGTTAAAAATGGATCAAGGATTCTGTATTTCTGTAGCTGTAACGGGTGGAGGGTGTGTTACCACACGGCACTTAGGCCTCACTAGGCCACTAGGCCCATTGTGCATCCTCCTAAGATGATAAGCACCTCCTAACTCGTGAGCCAGCCTACAGATTTAATGTAGTTGACAACGTCGCCGAGAGGTGCTGCTCTTATATCGGCCGGTGTTAGCCGATACACGCCGAACACAAATATTCTAATAAATGAGAGCGTCTAGCAGTCGTAAAGGATGTGCTCGATGGTCTCATCTTCTTGTTCGCACCCTCTGCAGAGTGCGGATTCTAACAGCCCCATGATATGGAAATGCTTCCGTACTTGGCAATGACCAGTCAGAATGCCTGTAACTAGACGCAGATTCTGTCTAGTCATAGTCAAGTATTTGTTTGCTGCAGTGTTGTCAGGATAACTAAAGAGCTCCCTGGCAACCCTGCAGTGTCTTGTTTCATCCTATTTTTCCTTGAATTTCACAAGGGAATGTTCTTTAATTAAGTCTATCACTACCGATTTGGTCAGGCCAATAGAAGGACCAGGTCCAAAAAGTATTTGGTTGGCTGCTTCCTTGGCTAGTGAATCAGAAAGATGGTTACCTTTCGATGTGGCGTGATCTTTGATCCATCTTAAGGTGACCACATTGTTGATGGATGCTTCGGCCAAAGCTTCGTGACATTCTATTACTAACCCTGAGTAACTTCGTGGTCTG